AAACACGGCTGGCGTACTAGCACTTGGTTTTTTTGTCGGCTCTGTTTGTTATGTTCACTGTCGGGATATTGTTGAGAATATATTCTGGCCATTAAGGTGAATCTGTTGAGGAAAAACAAAATCATTTTCTTTATAATGTTTAATGACCAGAATTTGTGTCAGCTTCTTTGCTTTCTTGAAGAGTAGCCTATATGTGTTTGAAAGAATTAAAATGTACTTTATTTTGACATATATATATACATATATATATATATATATATATATATATATATATATATAATATATATATATATATATATATAATATATATATATACATATATATATATATATATATATATATATATATATATATATATATATATATATATATATATATATATATATATATATATATGTATGTATATAATATATATAAATTTAAACACAAACATAATTAATTATGTTTTTTAAAAACCTTATTAGAAGATCTACTTACAGATCCGTTGCCGGATGATAAATAAATGTCACTGGCATCCACTGTGAGGTTACCCTGACCTGAGGTCAGGTTATCCCTTCCTGTCCAAACACATTGACCATCGACTCGGATGAAATCCTGTGGATAGGGACAACTGAGTTTAGATGTCTGGTAGAGATTTTGTGTGATACAGCTTTACATAGATTCCACAGATTACTTAGATGGTATAGCTTTATATAGCTGGTGCAGTTTTATATGGATGGTATAGCTTTATATGGATGGTACATCTTTTATATAGCTGGTGCTGTTTTATATGAATGGTACTGCTTTATATGGATGGTACAGCATTATATAGCTATGGCAGCTTTGTATAGCTAGTACATCGTTATATGGATAGTACAGCATTATATGGATGATACAGCTTTATAGCAATAGTACAGCTTTGTATAGCTGGTACAGCATTAGAGATAGATGGTACAAGCTTTATATGACACAGAAGATTACAGAACTGATACCGCTAGAGATGCGTTAGAAGATCACATAGCCTTGTCGAACACATCTTTTTTTTTTCATTGGGATATTTTAAAAAGTAAAATCTAATCATGGATTACTGAAGATGAAAATAAAATTTCCTAAAAAATAATGTTTTTAATACTTTTTTACACCAAGAACAAGAACCAAGTTAAATAAGCTATGTAAATGATGCAAGAGTTACCTACCTTTAATATAATTTTTCTTTTTCACCCTACAAAAACAAATGCTATTTTTAATCATCTGAATATCACGTTTTAAATTTAACACACAATGGAGTAAAAACTTACTGTAGCAATGAATCTGATGGACTCAATACTGTTGGTGTCAACAATGATCCTTGTAACCGGATTTCACCTAATGAAATACAATATCAGTATTTAAAATAAGTCTCATTTAGTGTGAAATGAATTGGAAATTAAATTTTAAAAAGCTAATCGTAAATGGTGTTTAGCCGGCAAACAGAAAAAAAAAATACAGAAAAAAATGTATTTAAAAAAGTATGAAACTTGATCTGAAAAAACTTTCCCATAAATATAAAAATCTATGAGCTGTAGGAGGGGCGTAGCGAGGGAGGGGGGGGGGGGGGCGGGGGGGTGCGGACCGCACCGGGTGACACCATTTAGGGGGGTGACGCCCAAGGCAAAAAATAGCAAAATATATAGAGAAAACTTGTGAGGGGGGGGGGGGTGCAAATCGAAAGTTCGAGGGGGGGTGCAATCGAAAACTTGAGGGGGGGGGGGGGGTGTGGGTGGTGCAAATCGAAAAATTTGAAAGTTTGTCCCCGGGAAGGGTCGCTACGCCTCTGGGGGGGGGGGGGGGGGGTGACACCATTAAGTGCCGCACCGGGTGACACCCGACCTCGCTACGCCACTGAGCTGTAGTATAAATCATTAATAATACATTATCTCTTTAGTTATCTTAAAAAACCTTTTTTTTTTACTTTAAATTAACGCTGGAAACACATTTTTTAAAAATACTTTGCATTATAGAATGTTTTAACAGCTTAACACAGGAAAAAAAAAGAAAGAAAAATTAAAACGTATTATATGAAAATCTTGAATCGATAGTTGGCTATCAAAAGTCTTAACTGCCATTCCCAACTAAGAAGGAATAATTGTTGGGGGTTTGGGGGGGGGGGGGCATCGAGAAATGGGTTTCTCGCCATACATTCAATTCAGGACTGTTGCTATAACTGACGTCCCGGTGTTATTGATCACTGCCCGACTGGGAGGCGCGAACCCAGTGTGAAAGGCGTGAGTTCGGATCCGTGGAAAGTCCCTGAGTCCACTTAGCTCTAATGGGTAGGAAAAGTGAAGGCGGCTGGGCATAGTTCTGATCACGTTATCCCTTCATACGCCGTGGTCACAAAATTAGATGTACTTTATTTAATTTAGATTACTTTAGAGCGGAAAAACTCTGTACCAAAACAAGACAAAAATGTATTTTTTTTTTTAAAATTATGTCTAGTCAAAGGGAAACAACAATGAAATTTATGGCATAACTCAAAAATCGCATAGCTTCTTTCCCCTGACATTTGTGTTCTTTTATTGTTTACCATTTTATATTTTTATCCTTTTGGGGGCGGCGTGACCTAGCGGTAGAGCGCTAGACTGCTAACCCGAAAGTCTCGAGTTAGAATCAGGGTTAAAATCAGAAGAAAATCCCTGAGTTCACCCATCTCAGATGGGTACCTAACCTCACATGGGGAAGTAAAGCAAGCTGGGTATAGTGTTGACCACACTATCCCCCCTGTATGCCGAGGTCACTTAAACAGATGAACTCTACTTCAGCTGCCCCATGTGTTTGGGCACAAACGGGAAAGGATGATGATGGACCAATTTATATTGGCAATAGATTGTGTGTATATATGAGTGTGCGTGTGCGTGTGTGTGTGTGTGAGTGAGTGTGTAAACTGTAAATGCATGCGGTGCGTGTGTCATCTGATCGAGCACTTGCTGCACGCTCCGTGAGTAAATAGATGACACACAGCAATTAGGCCTACACATAGAACAACCCGAGTTAACTTTTTTACTGTCGCTGTGTGCGGGTGCTCATTGATTACGTCTTGTGATGTTTAATACTAGGCTGTTTAGGACAGTCATATATATTTTGGTTAATTGGGGATTATAGAAAAATAATATTATATATTACAACCAGCTGTGATACTTTTATATATATATATAAATATATATATATATATATATATATAATATATATATATATATATATATATATATATATATATATATATATATACCCAGCTGTGACACCAAACAAAACCGAAATTTTGAGAGTTTGAATTACGCGTAGAAAATTAAGTGGCCAGAATTTTTCATTATTAATATTATAAATAAATAATTTGATTTGGCTGACTGTTTACTATTTGCATTATAGCAAACTGGTAATTACATTACTTAAGAAAGTAAAGATTTAATAATATGATTATACAAAAATTATTTTATATATATATACAAATAAAAAAATATTGTTATTAATTTTACTAACATGAGTTTAAATGCATATTTTACCAACTTTGAAGAACATAGTGGTAGGTTTTTTCCCTTTACATTTCATAAATTTGTAAATGACAAATAAAAAATATAAATAAAATATTCAATATTAACAATTCTAAACATTGTATTTTCACATTCTAACCATCATGAACTATATTGTATATAATTAATATGTGCATAAAAAACATTTATAGTTGATTTTTGTAGAATTGTTGTGTTTATTTGTGAATATGTATAAATCTGTATATTCACTGAGAGAATGCTAAGGTGAAATTGTTCTGTAGCCAGTAAGCTGGCTGGCTGTAAATATGTTATTTGGCTCGCTGTAAATATGTTATTTGGCTGGCTATAATAATATTATTTTGCTGGCTGTAAAACATGTTATTTGGCTGGCTATAAAAGTATTATTTGGCTGGCTGTAAATATGTTATTTGGCTGGCTGTAAATATATTATTTGGCTTGCTGTAAATATGTAAAAATTAAAAATCTGGGTTGTTGTCCGATTTGAATTGACTTTTTCTACATCTGATTATACCCAGTGTTTCTTATTTTACCATAAGGATTTCTTGAATTAAACAGAGTAGATAGTTAACATCTTTTTTTTTTTTGTATTCTCTCTTGGTGAAGACAATGCCATTGTGAAATGTTCTTCTCGGTTAGTACAAATGGGAATCAAATTTACATTTCATAAGGTATAATTTTAACCAACGTGGTCGAATGGTAGGTCGTACGACTGCTAACCCGAAAGTTTCGAGTTCGGAGAAACGTCGCAAGGTACTCTTAGCTTTGACGGCTAGGTCCTGCCTAATTTCTTACCGCTAGGGCCAACCAAATTTCTTACGGCTAGGGCCTACCTAATTTCTGACGGCTAGGGCCAACCTAATTTCTTACTGCTAGGGCCAACTAATTTCTGACGGCTAGGTCCTGCCTAATTTCTGACGGCTAGGGCCAACTAATTATATCAGGGGAAGTGTAGGCTGCGGGCATAATACCGAAAACATTATCCGTTCATACGCTGATGTCACAGAAACAGGTGAACTCTACTTCATTAATCCCATGAACCGCCATGGCTCAAAAGGGTTATTCCATTTTAGAACATTTTAAATTTTCTTTACTGTTGTATCGTACACCATTTGGACGGGATCGGAAAGTTCCAGAATTCCGAAAAAAATACTTACCTGGAAACATTACGTCCCCTGATCCTAAAACGACCTTGTCCTTTGACAGCAAAAGATTAGTGTTTCCCTTTGAGTCTACAACGTGCAGGGTGTCACAGGTCATCGTGATGTTGTCCTCGTCTGTTGGGAAAAGAATTTTTTTTTTTAAATTTTTTTTAATATTTAGAAATAGTTTTTTTTTAAATTAATATAAAGTGACATTTTTAACTCAGGTCATGTACGTGGTATTTTCAAATATATAAGTTCTACTTACCTACAACAAGTCTACTTCCAAATTCTTGATTCTTATCTAACGTAAGCAACTCGATCGCTTTGCTTGACTCAATAAACAGTTTCTTCCCCTGTGTTGTGGATTTTTATAAAAGGGAGGTAATTCTACTTTGGAGATTTAGCAATGTAAAATTAGTTTAAATGCACTAAATTAAAGTAATTAATTTATTTTAATAATTAAATAAAGTATTTTAAAATTAAGTCATTACAACTCATGAAATCCTTCCCCCCCACCTACCAATTAAATCAATGAATAATAGCCCGATCAAACACTATCTTGACATCAATAACAAACCCTCACCTAACCTTTAACTGCAGAACGCTTCCTCAACTTGTCCTACAACCGCCTTACTTATTCCTGCACTACTACGTCCTCCACCCCCATCATCTCCTACCCAGCTCCCGGTTGTCCTGCACAACACCTCACCCTTATCTGTGGGCCCTCCCCCCCCCCCCCCCCCCCCCCCACCGATGTGGTTTTACCACCCGTCACAACCGATCCTGTCATTCCCCATTTCGTCACTCACCCTGACCATCATCCCTCCAGCCCCAGCCCCTCCCTCACCATCACCCCCACCCCCACCCATCCCCATCCTACCTGATTCGACTTTAATTGTCGACGTAAACAGGTTGAGAAACTCTGCTTCACCTATCAGCTGAAATCCTTTGGGCACGATCCTGAGATGTCCCATACCGTCCTGCAGGGGTGAAAGGTCAGGCAATCACAGAGAATGGATACTTCAAAATACATTGTATTGTTTACTGTATGTTTTGTACCTATGTCTGTTAACAGTAACTGGTAGTAAACTATCAGCTAATTTAACACGCAAATGTAACTGTAACCATATCCCTAACCCAAGGCCCTAACTCTTATTTTGGACCTAATATTAGACATGTTACTAAATAATATAAAAAATTTATTTTATCAAATATATTCTAAACTTTGGGATACGGCAAAGCGTAGTGACAAGAGACCCACTAACGTCACGCCCCCCCCCCCCCCCCCCCCCAAAAAAAAAAAACGAAAGGTTACAGATCCACTAATCCACTTAGCCGCTCGCATTTCGTAATCTAATAAAAGCAGAGGTCAAGACACAGCCACAACCCCCACCCCCCCCCCCACACACACACACACATAGAGGTATCAGCCCAATCATTCAAACCACACACACACACTGCCACACACAGCATCTTACACAGTGAAAGGTCAACATATCCCTAAATCTCTCTCTCTCTCTCTCTCTCTCTCACACACACAGAGGTCAAGAGGTCACCACTGACAAAAGAAAAGTCCAGCACCCGCAGGATCCAGACGGTCAAGGCCACACAGCCACACACACACACACGCACGCACGCACGCACACACACAAGCAGAGGTCAAGAGGTCACCACTGACAAAAGAAAAGTCCAGCACCCGGAGGATCCAGACGGTCAGTGCCAGGTTCATGATGACGATGACCATCAGTGCCAGCACGAAGGCGTACAGGCACCGCTTCCTCCAGCCGTACACACCGATGGGCTGGGGAGGGGGTGGGTTGATCAGGCTCAGGTCCAGGGTGCCGTTTGTTTCCTCGTGCTCCATCTTTAATGTCTGCTACGTGGGGGTCGCGGTGGAACTCTGGGATTTATTACACAGTGGTTAAATTAATCATTAGTGGTTAAACATAATTTGTTTATTAACTGTATTGACTATGAATTTCCAATTAAGTAAAGATTCCTCTTTACACATTGGGTAGATGAAGCAGGGTTCATATGTTTCTTGACCTCGGCATATGAAGGGAATAATATGGTCAGCACTATGCCCAACCGTCTTTTTCCCTAACGTAAGTTAAGTACCCTTAAGTGCTAATTTGAACTCGGATTCAAACACGAGATTTTCGGGTTAGCAGTCTAGCTCTACCGCTAGGCCACGACATCACATAAATTGCCTAATTACAGTTGAAATAACTCTTACACTTTCAAGTACCCGTCACATATTCAAACCTTTAGCCAGGTTAACTTGTGTGGTTTACGGTTTGGTTTATCGTTAGTGTAAAGCTTTAGTGTCAGGCTTAACGTCGTATCGACTTGTGATTAGATGTGGGTTACGACCAAGATAAAGACAATTTTTATAGCAACCATACCTTCATAATAAAATGCAAATGGTAAATAATATACTTGTCTTAAAAAAAAAACATTTTTTTTTGTTTCCTTTTCAAACCTGACGGTCTATAGGGCAAGTGAAGTAGAGTTCACTTGTTTCTGTGACCTCGGCAAATGAAGAGATAGTGTGGTCAGCACTATGCTCAGCCGCCTTTACTTTCCCTAACGTGAGTTACGTACCCATCAGAGTTGGGTGGACTCAGGGACGGTCTTCTGACTTTAACCCAGATTGGAACTCGAGACTTACGGGTTAGCAGTCCAGCTCTCTACCGCTAGACCACTCCGTCCCTAAAATAAACCTTCCATTCATATAATCTTCCTATTCAGATAAAATAGCCTCACCAAGAGAAAAAAAAAACCTTCCATTCATATCTTCCTATTCAGATAAAATAGCCTCACCAAGATAAAAAAAAACCTCCCATTCATATCTTCCTATTCAGATAAAATAGCTTCACCAAGATAGAAAAAAAAAACCTTCCATTCATTGACCAAGCCAATATTTTTTTTCACCTGGTCACGTTATCTCAGGTAGGGTGAGCTGAAATAGAACGATGAGCCCGTCTTATGCGGTCAACTTTCTGATGCATACAGCGCACACAGAGATGTTATTTTAGTAACACAACTGTGTTTACTTTGGTTAGAGGTTGTGGGGGGAGGGGTGAGGGAAATCAAGATTTTTTATCTGGATAGATCATTTTTCATTGTTGGCTGGAAAATATATTTAACTTAACTCACTTATTTCGTTGATATTACATTTATATTTCAGTTTTACACAATTACTTTCTTCAAGTTTACTAAGAATAATGGGAAGTGTTATAATGGAGTAAAATATCGATACCGAGACTTAAACAAAATCTTGACGCTTAAAACCTTCCTCGGAAAAACTTTGTCCTGCGATTGTATCTGTCTGTGTGTCTGTGTGTGTCTGTCTGTGTGTCTGTCTGTCTGTCTGTATGTCTGTCTGTATGTCTGTCTGTCTGTCTGGTCTGGTCTGGTTCGTCCGTCCGCCCTGAGATGGACTCATCGAACCCCTGGGCAGTTACTCAGCTAGAAAGATCTGACTTTTATTTATATCGGCCCATAGAACTCAGCCATACCAAGTACCCGCCCGCCCCCTCCCCACCTCGGTACAACTACACACGCGAACATTACCGAATCCAGTCCAGGTTTCCGGAAATCTGCCCCTTAACCCGCCTGTTAACGTGATCCGGCCCCAGTTTCCTCCCTTATTTACCTGCAGTTTCAACACTGGCGCGCGCAAAAAGCCGAGTCGACTGACGTTAAGCGAGACATCTGGTCTTCGTTACGCTCGCTAAAGACACGTTTTGGTGGTCGGAGATTGGTGTGGGTAACATGGGTCGTGTGGATGGGTTGTGTGGGTCAGATGGGTTGTGTCGGTCAAGTGGATTGTCGGTTCGATGGGTCGTGTGGATGGGTTGTGTGGATGGGTTTTGTGGGTTGTATCAGATAGGTCGTGTGGGTCAGATGGGTTGTGTGGATCGGTTGTGTGGATGGGTTGTGTGGATGGGTTATGTGGGTCAAATGGGTCAGATGGGTCGTGTGGTGGGTCGTGTGGGTCAGATGGGTTGTGTGGATGTGTTGTGTGGATGGGTTGTGTGGATGGGTTGTGTGGTCAGATGGGTTGTCTGGGTTAGATGGGTCGTGTGGCTCACATTGACTATGTGGGTTAGATAGATTGTATGGTAAAGAGAGCGGGAGAGAGTTTGATTCCAAACTCCAGAAGTCACGAGTTCTGATCCCGGGCAGTTAGAGCTCATTATCAAATTGGGGGCAGCAACCCATCTAGGAGAGACAACTCCAAAATAAAAAAACAAAAACTTCTTCCTTGTTTGTTTGTTCTTAAATGGGCAAAGACTATTACAGCACATTCAGAAGAAAAAAAGCAGGCTGAAATCGTAGTAAACGGATCATAAGACGCATACCCTAAACTTAAATGTAGTCAAGTATTATTTATTGTGTTGGAAGAAATACATTTCAATATTGCAATAAAGAACGCAAAAATTGAAACAATGTCGAACAGCGTTGTCTGTGGAAAGTGAAAGTTAGTTTTCAGACTTCTACGTCTGTGTGTTTAACATAATATTAACGTCCAATTTCCTAGAACACTATTACTTAAAAACGTGTTTACTTTAACTGTTTGTTAAAAATTAAACATATTTATTTATCGAAACAAAAAAAAAAAAAGCCGAGTGTTTTTAAGAACACCAATATCAATCATTATCACCAGGTGTAAATCAGACGCTAATTACTGGGAAATTTCGTTTCCTTGATTGGACGACAGCATGCAAGGGAGTTAAAACCTCGCCAGGTAATCCACGACCCAGCAAATTTTTCTGGCCACTTTCCAGCGAAAACATCACATTCATAGCACCGTTATTTGCAGAGCCAGGTACCAAATGGGACCGTTTTTCATGGCGCCAGGTACTAAATGGAACCGTATTTGTGGGACCAGGTACTAACTGGAACCTTTATATGTGGGCCAGGTACCAAATGGAACCTTTATTTGTGGGGCCAGGTACTAAATGGAACCGTATTAGTGGGACTTGGTACTAAATGGAACAGTATTTGTGGGACCAGGTACTAACTGGAACCTTTATTTGTGGGACCAGGTACTAAATGGAACCGTATTAGTGGGACTTGGTACTAAATGGAACAGTATTTGTGGGACCAGGTACTAACTGGAACCTTTATTTGTGGGACCAGGTACTAACTGGAACCTTTATTTGTGGGGCCATTTACTAAATGGAACCGTGTTTTTGTGGGGCCAGGTACTAACTGGAACCGTTTTTTGTGGGCCAAATATTCAAAGGAAACCGTTATTTTTAGCTATGTTGTTAAGGGGATCGCGTGGTTTGGTTATATCAGAGTAGAGCTCTACCCTAAACCAGAGGCGGTCGAAGGACAAAAGTAATTTGTTACTTGGAGCATACCTGTAAAAATAGGATCCTTACCAACGAAGGAAAGATATCATGGTTTCTAAAGCGAATTAGCAGTAATTTGGTCCGTAAGGCGAATCACCAGCACTTAGGTTCTTAAGACGAAAGAGCAGCACTTTGACTCATAAGCCGAATGAATTACGCAATCGATTTGTAGAAGTGTTGTCAATGCTGTTTTTAGACATCTTTTTAGAAGTTTAACCTTGTTTTAAACAAAAGTTAAGAAGATGAACCCAAACGTAAACAACTCATGTAAACAATACGTCACTTCCGGTAAAAATCTACAGCCGTTGGAAACAATGGCCGTCTAAACAGCAAGCCATGTTCATTTTAGTTATATAAAGGGTATCTACGGCTTTTTTTTGTGTTGAGATTTTAAAAGTTATGTTAAAGATTTGTTATTTGTTTTGATTGAAGTAGAGTTAACATACAGTAAATGTACCATACGTCGTCATCATTTATGGACGCCTCAGTTATGTGATGTCAGAAAAAATTGTCGTTACCCTGGTCGTAACCCACATCAAATCACAAGTCGATACCACGTTAAACCAAACTGTAAACTACATAAATACACATGGCCACTTCTTTGCATATGTGATGCGGTAACTGTAAGTGTAAGCCAATGGTGCAAATACACGCAGGTCAACTGTGTAATGAGGGGACAGATGATCGTGGTCAGTGTTCCAGACTTTTTTCTCCGGGGGAGAGGGGGGGGGGGGGTTGCGCCTGAAAGAAACGAACTGATCGTTGTACCAATGAGTATTTATGTTGGGTAAGATGACTATTAGCACTACATATTTAGTCAGTAGAGCAAAGTCAAAGAACATGACTTTACAGATGGTTGCAGATTTTACAGAATGAATGAACCCAACATGACTTTGCATAAATCAATAAAAATGACTTTATAAAGTTTTATTTACAGTAGATACAGTATGACTTTACACATAATCATTCAGCTTAACATGACTTTACAACATTTTTTTACAAAACAATTTGTCTCCAAGAACATTATTATTTTTTTTTTTTTATTTTATAATTTTCATAACATGATTTCCAACAAGTTAAACATTAATCAACAAAATGAAAGGAAAAACAAAACCACAATAAATGCAAACAAAGCAACAACTCACTTCGCTTAGCTTATCCTTGTGGATTTAAAGTATCCACAAAATATCCATCGTCGACCGGCTCCTAGTCTATAGCTAGCTCCACCTTTCCTCGAGCACAACACAAAGCACTCAGTAACGTAAGTCAAATATATCCATCAATCCACACCCACAGTATCCAGCTAGTTATATCCAATCACTGAACTGGATATACACTAGTTATCCATAACGAATCCACAAACCTGAACTTCATTAAACTAGTTATCCACAGTGAATCCACAACCTTCAACCTCAACTACACTATAGCAAAACAACTTCAAAAGGAAGAAAAGAAAAAAATATCCATTGAAATAAGAACAGTATAGATGTTGAGATTCCGACGCTGAATCTTCGGGTAGCTGGATAAAGAATTCCAGCGTTGATTCCGTGTAGAGGTCAATATCACCCTTGTTAGGGTATAAATAGCTCACACTATTTAATCCAAAGCAGATGTGAGTTGAAGTTAACTTACGCTAATCGCAACCTTCCTCTTGGGCGCCATAAGAAAACCTCAGCTCCAAAAGACAAGGGGGAAGAAATCACCAGTAGAAAGAAAAAAAATACGATTGGAACAACGGTTACTTCTTAGCGTCTGTGAGAAGGGAGAGGGGGAGGAGGAAGTAAAAGGGTAACAAGGTCACGATGTTTTAGGCGAGTCTTTATCCAGCCCGCTAGTCTACGTTTTACGTACTCGCAAGTATGGTGTACCAAATGTTCATTTTTCACATTTTCGCTACTTCGTTATTGTTTTATTAAGAAACTATGGAAGATAATGGTTGTTAATTCGAAGCAGTTTCTACTAGATAAGAACACAAAAATAAAATATCAGTTCGTTAGCAAAAGAATTTGATTGTAAAAAGATAAACCGAATGATGTAGGATGATTTAAACACTAACTAAACTCACACTATTTTTTGTTAATTATTTGATTCAAATTCTATATTATTTCATGACTTTGTAGAATAATGTACCTTAATTTAATACAATTTCAACTCACACTATTTTTGTTAATTATTTGATGTGCTATATTATTTAATGATTTCGTAGAATGATGTACATTTATTAAACACTATTTAAATTCAAACAATTTTCGCTAATTATTTGATTTAAAATGCTATATTATTTCATGCTTTTGTAAAATGATGTACGTAAATTAAATATCACTTGAACTCACACTATTTTTTTGTTATTTTTTTATTTTATTTTAAATGCTATAGGTAGGCCTATTACTTAAAGATTTTGTATTTTAAACAGGAAATTTAAATTAAAAAACAAACACCGAGTTGTGAGGCCACAAGATTTTATCACGCCTCAAACCTGGACATTTACTTCACGGCCAAGACAAACGAGTTTCCTGTTGCTGATCCATGTTGATCTTTCTGCTTGGCTGGTTGCCACGGATCTTTGGACTTAAACAAATAGAGCCCGATTCACTCGCTAGCTGCAAGTGCGGCTTTCTTGCTGGGGAACTTGTTTAGGGATTTTGTTTAGGGAACTTGTTCAAGGAAGCTGGTTCTAGGGAGATTGTTGAAGGGTGAAGGGAACTCATACAAGGGAACTCGTTCAAAGGAACTCTTTGAGCCTATCCGTTGGTTTATCCGTCCTTCCGCCTGTCAGTCTACCGTTTGTTTCTTTTTCTTGAGGGTGGGAGGGGAAGGGGGGGGGGGGTGATTAGATTGAGTGACAACTAAGGCCTTTAGCAACAATTTATCTTGTACCTGCGATACTAAAAAAAATATTTACTAGGGGAGATAACTTTTGACTAAACCACAATGGTTGACATTAAAATATATTTAAATACTAGAATAAAAACAGTTTAAAACTAACAAATGTTTCTTTACAGTTCTATACATAATTATTAATAGTCATTTTATATTTATCTAAAAAAATTACATACCTTAAAAAATCTATTTAAGTCATGCCCTGTTGTAAAAGAGACATACATTAACTATTTTCAAAGAAAGGTTTAATTTTAAAAGATGTTATTTTGATGTCTACGTCTCCTTGAGAAACTTCTGTTAAATTTTAAATCCCTTCGATCGAGGGACACATATAAAAATTATCTAGTCCAGGGGTCGCCAACCTGCGGCTCGCGAGCTGTATGCGGCTCTTTTGATGTCAAGATGCGGCTCTTCAGTTCCATGCACAAATATTAATAAATATATTATTTTATTTTCGAAACTCATAAAAATATTATACTGTAAAGAAAAACAACTTTAAAAGGATAAACACACTCATTAGAGAACAGTGAGAGTAGATGAGATAGAAAGTGTACGGACAGCTGACAGCCGCTTGGGCATCAATCCCACAGCCGTGTTTTTGCCAACCCCGTTGCAAACAGTTCCTTGCTTGCAATTGCCCAAGTGCCAACTTTTTCGAATACCATTAAATACGGAATGTTATTTTATTCAGAATGCATCCATCTACCTGTCAGTATGCATACAACTGACCTGAGTGATGTAGTTTTTTTTTAGTAATTAGCTTCCTACTGTTGAGCCAGATACTGGACTGTGGGGTACAAGTAGGGTAGACGATGTGCCCAGTGAGAACCGAAGGACGGAAGCGACCAATACAGTAATCAAACTGATACCCAAATCAGTTAGTCGATATTGGCCGTGTTGAGGCCTGCCTGGTTATGAGAGACATCTCATGGGCCAGTGGTGTCAGTAAAGAAAGAAAAATAAGTTATTGACTCCTAAAGTGGATTGGGATAGTCGTATAGTTATATTATAGTTATGTTATTTGATTACTAATTCTATCACAACAGAGCTAGCTAAAGCAGTTTTTGTGCGAAACATTTGAATGTTTTTATATCAATCAATATTAGTTCATATTTAACGCTACTTATTTCAAATCAAAAATCAAATTTATTTACCTAATCCTTGTCAAATACCAAAATATTAAAAAAAAATAATGTTAGTGGCTCTTTAAAACTGGAAAATTGTGTAAATTGTAATTTTTGGCTCTTCCGTCCAAAAGGTTGCCGACCCCTGATCTAGTCAGATAACTGTGGGTTTCGGGAGGTCATCCATAAATGGCATCACGTCTGTCAGCACTTTTCATCCCAAAATAACCAGACCCCACATTCAGAAAAAGACGTTTTTTATATTTTAAAAACTCTACTAAACTCTACTTCACCTGCCCAGTGCCCCGCCAAGTCTCAGACATGTTTGTATTTAAAAAAAAAAACAACGAATCCGGCCGAGCATGGCTCTGACCACACTATCACTTCATATGCTGAGAACATAGAAACAGGTGAACTTTACTTCACCTGCCCTGTGCCCCGCGAGGTCCTGATAGTCAACCTTATCATTCACATAAGGCTTAAGAAAAAATAATTAAAAACATTGTTGTAAAAAGAAAAAAATCAATTTACTATTACTGAAGTCATTGTTCTAAACTTTTATAATTAATGTGGTTTAACTACCAATGAATATATCAATAAATTAATTAACGGCTTTAAATTAGTTTGTAATTAACAGTTTGTTTAAGAAGGAACAATATTTACCACCCAAAATCCTATTTTACAGCTCTACACATAATGCAGATTCTCCCCAAAAACAAATCAGAAAAACAAACTAACAAAAAAAATGAGTTATCAAACATCACTAATCAGTCAAAGTTAAGCCATTGTTCTAAAACTTTAAAATTAATGTGGTTAATCTACCTAGGAATAAATCAATAAAATAATTAACGTCTTTAAATAAATGTGTGATAAACAGTCTGTCTGCAATAAAAAATTGTTCTCTACCTACATACTATTTTACAGCCCCCCATATAGAGCAGTTTCCTTACAGTACCAAATCAGACAAACCAACAAATATTCAAACATGTAAACAAACTTGAGTTTTAGTAGTATACTAGAGTACCCGTCATCCGTTGGATAACTGTGGGTTTCGGGGGTCATCCATAAAAAAACATCACGTCTGTCACTCAGAGGCGTAGCGACCCTTCCCGGTGCCCGGGGACAAACTTTTCGATTTGAACCCCCCCCCCCCAGCCCCTTCCCCCCCCCCCCCCGGCAGGATTTCGATATGCACCCCCCTCAAACTTTCGATGTGCACCACCCCCCCTCAAGATTTCGATTTGCACCCCCACCCCCCCCCCCCCCCCTCAAACTTTCGATTTGCACCCCCCTCAACCGTTCAATTTATTTTTCCAACCCATTTTGGCGCCCCCTAAGGTCGGCGCCCGGGGACATATGTACACCCCGCCCCCACCCCCCTCGCTACGCTACTGCAGTGTCACTTATCGTCACAAAAAACAGACCCCACATTCAAACATATGTTTTTTTATCTTTTAAAAACACCGAAAACAACGATTTCGGACTATCCCTTCATATCCTGACGTCACAGGTGACTTACTCAACCCTACTTCACCTGCCCAGTCTCAGACAACATGTTTTTATCGTTTAAGAAAACGATTCCAGCCGAGCATGTCTCTGACCACACTATCCCTTCATATGCTAAGGACAAACAAACAGGTGAACTCTATTTCACCTGCCCTGTGCCCCGCGAGGTCCTGATAGTCAACCTTATCATTCACATGTAGGCCTTAGGAAAAATAATTGAAAACATTGTTGTACAAAGAAACTAAATCCTTTTTACTATTACTAAAGTCATTGTTTTAAACTTTTATAATAATGTGGTTAATTTACCCATGAATATATCAATAAATTAATTAACGGCTTTAAATTATTTTGTAATTAACAGTGTTTTTAAGAGGGAACAATATTTACCACCCAAAATACTATTTTACAGCTCTACACATAATGAAGATTCTTCCCAATAACAAATCAGAAAAACAAACAAACAAAAAAAATGAGTTATCAAACATCACTATTCAGCCAAAGTTAAGCCATTGTTCTAAAACTTTAAAAAAAAAGTGGTTAATCTACCTATGAATAAATCAATAAATTAATTAACGTCTTTAAATATATGTGTGATTAACAGTCTGTCTGCAATACAAAATTATTCTCTACCTACATACTATTTTACAGCCCCCCAAATAAAGCAGTTTCCTTACAGTAAGAAATCAGACAAAAAAACAAATAAATATTCAAACATGTAAACAAACTTGACTTTTAGTAGTATATAGATAGATAGATAGATAGACTATCGTTGCAACTAACGTATTAAGTAAAAAACAGGCTAAAGTTATGACATCGGTCGGGTGTGAGGATACCGGGAGCGACGCCATTGCTGGCGAGATGTAGTTTTCAGTCGCGTGACGCCCCCACCTCTGGACAGAACCATGCAGGACATCAGGATCTCAGCAGTGGATTAACTGGCGTCCATTGATTGTAAACTATTAGTTTGTCCTCTATGAAGATTAGGACTTAGTCCTCTTTATAGTAACCGCTGTTTATATGCTGATAATTAATGATAATATTAATTTTCATTTAATTAACTATCGTTTATTGAATTTATTTAAACTCTATCTTAAACTATACGTTTACACTAAGGATTGCAATTTTTGAATTGCCGCGTATGGCCACTGACTTGATTTGACCATCGAATGTCGGACAAAATCACAAACTTAAGTTTTTCCGACTCAGGGAAGTGTGAAACGATTTTTTTTTTTGCACGATTACAATACTTTCTCTATACTTCGTATACGAGAAAGTAAAAACAAATAGAGTTAAGTGTTACTTACGAAAGCTATATTCAAGTATGACTAAAAATAAAAGCCAGGGCGCTCACTTATAGAAAATATATTCCTTTCAATAGGGAGTTCATTGATAGATTTAAGTTCTATAACATATGACCTATGTTCAATTACCATCATTGAGAATCCAGACTTTTATTTTAGCTGCCATCTCAGCAAAGCATCTTAAATACTGAAGCTATTTCACAGTTATTTTGCCTGAGATATTTTGTCCTAATATATTATTATAATGAAATATCTTTTTTTTCCTTGAGATCATTTGTCCTAAGATGTATTCATATATTTGTTTTATTAAAATAATCTAAAAGCTATTTCGTCTGAGATATATAGTCCATGAGATCATTTGCACTGAGATCAATTTTTCTTTAGATATGGTATCTCATATCAATTGACCTGATATTATATATATATATATATATATATATATATATATATATAAATATATATATATATATATATATATATATATATATATATATATATATATATATATATATATATATATATATATATTTAAATATATAATGGCCTATAGCAGACAGGCACTAGTTAATGCCATACAGGGTAAGAACTAGGCTAAAATAAGGTGTGCAAACTCGGTTTCTCTTGACTGCTTAGTTTACTGTGCTCCGTCCTTAGCTGCGGAGTCAAAAGTTCACATTGTAGCCACCCATGGAGAGAAATAGAAACGACCGTCGGAGAAGGGTCTCTGTAATACACATACTGATCTATCATTCCAAAACTTTCCATGACATAAAATTGACCCTTGGCGATGAGGGCACGCTACCTTGAAATATCCGCCAGTCCGGTTGAGTGGGGGGGGGGGGGGGGGGGGGGGGAGTTTGTGTGTGTGGGGGAAGTGTGTGTGGGGGGGTGGGGGAGTGAGGTGTGTATTTCTTTCTACCATTCAGGTTGTGCACTTTTAAAAACCTGGGAAACAGAAGACTGTTCTAATGTTAATTTACTTGAGTGCTTATCGAGTGATGTTTGGCTTGAGACTGTCTAAATTAAAATTAATACTTTATTTATGTTGCAAAATTACTTTTTTTTTCGCATTCATTTGAAATTATTCTCATATCCACAAAATATATAATGTTGTACAGCTCGTAATCCTAAAAAAAAAAAACTGAAAATATTCTAAAATTAAGCTACTTAAAGTTTAAGAAGTTCTTCGTCACCATCACCTTCCTCTTCTTCCTCGGCAGCTATTTTCTTCTTCTGTTCTGCTTCTTCAGCTTTAACTGCCTGATCAATTTTGGCCTTCTGTTCATCACCCAGCCCAAGCCAAGCAATAGTGGGTTCTAAAAACTGTAATTTGGGAAACTGGGTCATATCAACACCTTTAGCTCCAAATGCCCTCTCCAGATTACCTAGCATTTCCTATAAGGCGGCTTCAGATTCTGCTGTGACATCAACTAACTCACCTCCTTTAGAACTGGAACGGTACTCTCTAATTGTATCTAAGAAAAGCTGTTGGATGGGATCAAGATTTTGGGCTGCACCAGCTGCTGCTGCATAGTTCCTTTGGCAAACTGCCTTGGTAACTGGTACAAGCTTTTGTAGTGTTAGCCGCAACATTTTCTGCGTGAAGAACCGACCGTCTCGAAAGCGAGATCGTTTTTTACTTTTTTTTTTTTTTTTTTTTTTTTAATATCTTCATCATCTTCTTCTTCATCATCATCCAAATCATCTTTGAAAGCAGTTGCCCCAAGAACATGTTCAGGATTCTCTCCCTTCTCAATATGTCGATATAAAGTTCTTCTCTGCCTTTCCTTTCAGTGCTGAACTTCAAATTTTAATTGCTCTTCTTGGGCTTTCTTTTCTTCCTCACTCTGCCCCGGCTGTATTATACTATCTTGTTTGGTATTACATTTAGCACCAGTGTTTCTTCCAGACTTTTTTCTCCGGGGGGGGGGGGGGGGGGGGGCACTTGAAATTTTCGGGGGGGGGGGGGGGGGGGGCGGTAAACTTTCTTCACAGTTTTGTTGTGACATCTGACACAAGTAGCAGGCTGAGATAATGGTTTGTATTTTTTCCCACGTTTTCTTTAACTTGCTTTCGCGTCTTTCCAATCAAATCTTGCGATCGAAATTTCGGGCACTTCCCAGTTAGCTAGCGCGCTGAAATTTTCAGGGAAGCTTTGTTTCCGATGACAATAGATTATTCATTTGTTATTATTACTAAATTGATCCATGTAAACATTTTATTGATCATTTTAGACCACTATATAATTGTACAAAAAACGTGGGAAAAGGGGACATAACCCAGTCATTGTAATTTGATGAAAACAAGGTTCGGTACTCTCCCTCTTTTTGCTTACTGAGTAGTGTTCACGTGGTGTTTGTGTACAAACAACCGGAACAACTGGTGGCCAGTGATTTTCTTACAGTTTCTAATACTGTTGACTCTCTACAAGCTCCATAATAAAAGTCAATAGTATTATCTAATCAATAGTAATATAACTTTTACATCTTATATTAACAATGACCGATAAAAAACTTTTACTTCGGCGCCCCACGTTTTTCATCGCTTATAGTAGAGTGATCGCTTGCATTATTGTGATGTATAGCATTTATTTTCTACTTTTTAGTTCAATCAGAAAACGTGGGTTTTTAAAAACTTTTTAAATGATAATTACTTGTACTTTATTTTCCATTCAATTATATCCTTACAGCGATGGCAAATGCCTTCAAAATTCAAGTTGTTAATGAGTTTTGTTTTGTCAGATTTATCATGCATATCATTTTTGAAGGCTCTGTTATTTTGATATTTCTGTTTTCGTGTGCGAGAAACATTGCCACGTTGTGAGCTCATTTTTTTTCGTTCGATTGTCCCGCTCTTTCCTTTAGTTTAGAATTGTGACAACGTCATGTTGATAGAGATCTTTTTTACTTTTTTTTTTTTTTTTTTTTGATTTGTTGTCAATAGAACAAATTTATTTAAACAAACATAAATAAAATGTTGCATATACATTTAAAATTGTGAAGATTAAAAACAATCCAACATTCACCAACTGCCCAACTACGTGACATGCCATGGTTATGATTAGTGGTTCTCAACCTCAGTTTGATCGAACCCCAGGGATTTGGTGATAGAGATCTTTTTTACAAGATCAAATATTTAATCCAAAGAAAATTAAAAAAGTGTATTATAAATGTGATCTTTATTTAATATTGAAAAGGTTTTGAAAATAAACTAATGTATGTTGATTTTGCAAAAGAGTTTAAAATTAAAATGTTTACTTGCGTAATATATCATTTTTATAGTAGTTTTAAAAGGAAAATATAAATTATTATGTATCAGGTTGTAAAAAAGTATTATCAAAATGTATGTTAATTTTATAGTATATATAATTGTTTAGTGTTGATTATTGTAGTTTAGTAGATAATTATCTCCCCTGTTAAATACTTTTAAAATTATTTGTGAACACAAGATAAATCATTGGTAAAAGCATCAGTTGACGCACAATCTAATTAACGTTTAATATGTTCTGCTAACTTAGATTTACTCCAGTTGTGTTTTCTGGTTGATGGTCACCCCCACCACCCTTCCCCCAAGCAAAAAAAAACAACAACACCCAAATAAACAGACAGACGGATGGACGGGCAGAAGGGAGGACGGACAGAGACAGATGTATACTAAATATAAAAAAATGGAAGTTTGAACACACAGAAAATAATTTGGTAGCTGTTTTATTAGTAAAATAATGAAAATAAACGAAAGATAGCTCAAATAAAAATATAAATAATTTACAAAATGCGATTAAAAACTTTGGATGTTCAACATAAACTTTATGTGCTTTCAAAGTTTAATTTTTTTCTTATTTGATGAGTGGTGGGTTTAGGGTTTTGAACTAATCTAGCACTTTCATTTCTATCTGCGGCTTATCTTTATACAATGTTCAAAGTAGTGAATTTAATTTGTCTAGGTTGTACCCAAAATTTATACAAACATATATTTTTTCAAACATTTTATATACACAAATCATGTCCCAATGATACCAATAGAACATCTCAATCACTCCCTTACGTTCGTTCGTTACGACTATCAATTTCTCGTGCATCAAATGGTGAGTACGTATGACGCAAACGACTCCCTCACGTTCACTCACACTTCGGGTCGACATTGAAAGACATGCATGCATGAAGTGGGCGTGTACACGACCACCTAATCAAGTGGGCGTGTCCACTACAACCCCCCCCCCCATAAAGTGGGCGTGTCCAAGACCACTCAATCAAGTGGGCGTGACCACTACAACCCCCCCCCATCAAGTGAGCGTGTCCACGACCACCCCATCTAGTGGGTGTGTCCACTACAACACCCCCCCCCCATAAAGTGGGCGTGTCCACGACCACCCCATTTAGTGGGCGTGTCCACAGCCACCCACTCATACGCCCACGGCGTGATCGAAGAGTTGGGTGGTTTCCTCTTGAGGAGTGTCTTCATTGTCGTCCGTCGATTCCATCTCGTAGTCCTCCTCGTAGTGCTGGGTCAGGATGCGAATCAAGGGTCGTAGCTAGGGGTGGGGGGAGGGGTTGGTTCATGTGAAACTTTTAGTATTGTCTTATTCATTAATCTAAAAAGACTTCTGTTTTTTTTTAATTAATTAAACCTAACATCCGTACACTTCCTTAAAATACACTTAGGCCCTAAAGTATGTTATTACCTAAATCTAACCTTGACCCACTTTCTGAACAAAATGTAACCTTGACCCATTGTCTGAACCAAATATGACCTTGACCAACTTTCTGGACCAAATCTAACCTCGAGCAACTTGATGCCGAATCTTGATTAGCTAGTTAGAGTTACCATACTATCGCCACCGAGCTGACATAGCCCAAACCTTGACCCTCTGGCTGACCTAATCCTACCATCAACCCGCTGAATGACCTAACCTTTACCCACCGGTTGACCTAACCCTGACCCTATCCCGCTAGTTCCCTTAGCTAACCAATCCTTGATCCGATATGCTGACCTATCCTAACATTGACCCTAAAAGTGACCTAATCCTATCTTTGACCTTCAATCTGACTTATCCTAACCTTGAATCTCAAAATGACCTAACGCTAACCTTGACCTTCAAGTAAAAATCGCCCTAACCGTGACTATCAATCTGACCTAAACCAAACCCTGACCCTCGAGCTGACATAACCCTGACCTTAATCCTCAAAGTGACATAACCCTGACCTTGAGCCTCGAGCTGACCCTGACCTTGACCCTTGAATCGACCTAACCCTGACCTTGACCCTCGAGCCGATCTAACCCTGACCTTGAGCCTCGAGCTGACCCTGACCTTGGCCCTCGAGATGACCTAACCCTGACCTTGACCCTCGAGTCGATCTAACCCTGACCTTGAGCCTCGAGCTGACCCTGACCTTGACCATCGAGATGATCTAACCCTGACCTTGAGCCTCGAGCTGACCTAACCCTGACCTTGAGCCACCAGTTGTAGGTGGGGACCTTGAGCTGCAGGTCCGTCTCAGCGAGGAGCCTGGTGACCGGCCTGAACATGATGATCCTCTTGTTCAGACACAGCACGACCTTGTTCTTGGGGCTCTCACTGCAAGAACAACCCCCTAACCGATTAGCCGTACCCACATACTTTGTTACCGCTCAGAAAGATCCTCAAAATGGAAACTTTAATAGGTGATGGTTCGTTATATATATAAACAGTTGAGGAAATTTTCTTGGCGATAACATCTTTGAAAAAAAAACAATGTATATCAGGTGGGAGGTGTATGAGCTTAAAGAAAGGTTAACGATTAAATCGTAATGGGGCTGGTAAGTAGGTCACCAACCAGTTCTACGCCTCAATAAAACCTGCATGAGCCATAGAACTGGTTGGTGACCTACTTACCAGCCCTATTGTCGGAGATGATAAAAACAAGTCCACACTTTAGGATACTGTCACGTGACCGATTAGAAAGTATGAGCGGCGAAGATGTACTCACTCATAAATCATGCCGTTCATGGGGGAGATAGCCTCCACCGTGTTCAACAGCCACTCGCCACTGCGTAGCCCGTAGATGGTCCCGCTTTTACGGTCCATTGGGGAGGGGAGGACACCTAGTTGTACCTGCCCCACACTTCCGGTTCGACACGAGAACACGCCGGCTCCTGTATTCATATATATATATATATATATATATATATATATATATATATATATATATATATATATATATATATATATATATTTATATATATATATATATATTTATATTTATATTTATTTATTTATTGATATATATATATTTATTTATTGATATATATATATATATATATATATATATATATATATATATATATATATATATATATATATATATATATCATAATGCGAAATAACGCAAAATTAAAAACAGATCGCGGAATATACATAGTATAAAGCGATAAGGAGTATACACAACAAAAATAACGCGGATATAATTTACATGACAAAATAAAACTGTATAGCGCACAAATACAATTTACAGGACCATAAAGCAAAATAACACTTTATATAACGTAGTGCACAACTGCATTTTACAACGCGGTATTGACCATGCACTGCACAAAATCTGACGTCACACACACGACGGTCGCACCTTCCTCCGTGAACAATTTATGCATGAAGTCTGATGTGTAGTTTTCGTTGGCGAACTCGCTCCTTAAGATGAGTGCGTTCCTGACGCCAGACTTTTGGATTTTGTTTTTAATGTGGTCCACATCCTAGGGAGTTAAAGAAAAACAAAAATCAAGAATTCTGATGGTAGAGGAGCTTGGTAAATTGATAGCTAAATTTGGGCGTTATTGAGTAAAAAAAAATAACGCTGGTAGTGGATGAAAAAAGACATTAATTTTAGTGTTCGTATGGGGGGGGGGGGGGAATAAAATTTATTTTGCATTTAAGATTGAAAATTATGGTTAAAAATGAAATTAGATCTTTGTAAGTTGTCAACAAAACAACTTGAGTCATGGATTTATCTAAATGTTATTAATTTGCATTACATTTGTTAAAACACAAATATGGAAAATAATGTTGTTTAGAGTAAGTAACCCTTGGCTGGGGATTATACGCATGTCGTTTCATTGACGTTTGTTAAGTTCTCATTAAGGTAAAAAATGTAACATATTATTCTAGTCGTATTATTTGTCGGAGTTTTAAAAAACCAACTGATATATAACTGCATTCGTTACCAAAAGTTCTTTTTAAAGTGTGTCTTGAATTCCCAATAATATGTGTCAAAACTTAACAGTGAAAGTCTGACAACGCTTACCTGTGAAATTGTGTCAAGACCTACCTGTAAAACTGTATCAAGACTTACCTGTAAAACTGTGTCAAGATTTACCTGTAAAACTGTGTCAAGATTTACCTGTAAAACTGTGTCAAGATTTACCTGTAAAACAGTGTCATGACTTACTGTAAAACTGTGTCATGACTTACCTGTAAAACTGTGTCAAGACTTACCTGTTAAACTGTGTCATGACTTACATGTATAACTGTGTCATGACTTACCTGTATAACTGTGTCAAGACTTACCTGTAAATCTGTGTCAAGATTTTACCTGTAAAACTGTCATGACTTACCTGTAAAGCAGTGTAAAGACTTACCTGTAAGAGCGTGTCTAGGTTGACGACCTCCTGTCTGATGTAGGCCGCATCGGCCCCGACACACACAGCACACATGGTGGTGAGGTAACCGCAGTTCTGGCCTAAAGTCTGGCACCAAATTAAAGTTCATTTCAGTTAAGGCCTTTCACCTCAGGTACACGCATATAATTATAACATATTACTTAAGTTAAGGCTTTCCTCGTTTATCATGTGCACACATATAGTTATAATATAACATTTCAGTGAAGGCCTTTCATCTTTATCAGATACATACATATATGATAACATATTATTTTAGTTATGGCCAGTCACCTCAGGTACACGCATATAATTGTAACATATTACTTAAGTTAAGGCTTTCCTCGTGTATCATGTGCACACATATATTTATAATATAACATTTCAGCGAAGGCCTTTCATCTTTATCAGATACATACATATATGATAACATATTATTTTAGTTATGGCCAGTCACCTTTATCAGGTGCACACATATAACAACATACATCAACTTTAATGGAATAGGCTGGTCGAGTGCTAGTCAGTATTACAGCACATGACGCTGGTCTTGAATATCCTCAGAAATGTTGGTTTAGATGTAGGGGAGAGGGTATGGTGATGACCACATAACCCATTCATACATCAACCTCAGCAAAATTTACACATTCTTCTTTATCTTTACTACGGTCAGTTACATTTGTATGTGTTGCAAATTTTAATTATGTAGGTTATGTGTACGCGTGTTAACGCGTGAAATGAGTACATTAGTGTGGTGTGTAATTAAACGTATGTGAACGGTCACCTCAATGATGTAGACGTAGTTTTTGTTCGCTTTAGCGAGCCGCTTCATCTTATCGCAGTAGCCGACAATCTCGTTCAGGGCCGAGTCGCTGCCGATGGAGATCTCACAGCCCGGGATGTTGTTCATGATGGTCACAGGCACCATACACATGGGGATGCCGAAGTTTCTGTGGAAGATATACTGGCACCATACATATGAGGCATGACAAAATTGGAAGAGAAAGTGGCACCATACACATGGGGATGCCGAAGTTTCTGTGGAATATGTAGTGGCACCATACACATGGGGGGTAAAAAAATTAGAAGACATTGGTGTACCATACACATGGGGATGCTGAAGTTTCTGTGGAAGATATAGTGGCACCATACACATGGGGGGTAAAAAAATTAGAAGACATAGGTGTACCATACACATGTGGATGCCGAAGTTTCTGTGGAAGATATAGTGGCACCATACACATGGGGATGGCGAAGTTTCTGTGGAAGATATAATGGCACCATACACGGGGATGCTAAAATTGGAAGATATAGTGGTACCATACACATGGGTATGACAAAATTGGAAGAGATAGTGGTACCATACAAATGGGGATGCTGAAATTGAAGAGATAGTGGTACCATAGACGTAAGGATACTAAAATTTATGTCGAAGAGACAGTGGTACCATACACATGGGAATGCAAACGTTAGATCTCATTTGTGCCATGGTTGATCTCATCGTTGCCATGGTAATGATGGCCGCCGAAATCGGTCAAGCCTGGTTTTTATTGATATTGTATTTTTTTAAAAGTTGTGCACCAATACATGATATGACTACATCAAAGAAAAATACTTTATACATGGATTGTTTGTGCAATGAGAGAGCCGAAAATGTGAAAAACGCCTTTTTGTGCTGATTCAAAGAACGGCAACAAGATGAGATGACATAAGGGTAGTCCACCGATATGTGCTAGAACAACACATATATGACACAAGAACACATATATGACACAAGAACAAAACCTATATGAGCTAGCTCAACACGGATATGTGCTAGAAAAACACATATGTGTGCTAAGACAACAAGAACAACTCACCTATATGTGACAGAACAACACCAATTTGTTCTATGTTCTAGAACAACACATACATGTGCTGACCCAACAAGAACAACTCACAGTTATGTGACAGAACAACACCACTATGTTCTATGTTCTAGAGCAGGGGTCTCCAAACTACGGCCCGCGGGCCGGATGCGGCCCACGAAGTCCTCTCATCCGGCCCGCGTGGATCTTTTTTCTCCAAGAAAAAATCGTTTGTTGGTGATGGCTGAGGAAGAAACTGGCCCCCGAACTGAAATTTGATAGTTAATGCGGCCCTCGGACTGAAAAGTTTGGAGACCCCTGTTCTAGAACAACACATAGATGTGCTGACCCAACAAGAAGAACTTACCGATATGTTCTATGTTCTAGAACAACACATAGATGTGCTGACCCAACAAGAAGAACTCACCGATATGTTCTATGTTCTAGAACAACACATAGATGTGCTGACCCAACAAGAAGAACTCACCGATATGTTCTATGTTCTAGAACAACACATAGATGTGCTGACCCAACAAGAAGAACTCACCGATATGTTCTATGTTCTAGAACAACACATAGATGTGCTGACCCAACAAGAAGAACTCACCGATATGTTCTATGTTCTAGAACAACACATAGATGTGCTGACCCAACAAGAAGAACTTACCGATATGTTCTAAGTTCTAGAACAACACATAGATGTGCTGACCCAACAAGAAGAACTCACCGATATGTTCTATGTTCTAGAACAACACATAGATGTGCTGACCCAACAAGAAGAACTCACCGATATGTTCTATGTTCTAGAACAACACATAGATGTGCTGACCCAACAAGAAGAACTCACCGATATGTTCTATGTTCTAGAACAACACATAGATGTGCTGACCCAACAAGAAGAACTCACCGATATGTTCTATGTTCTAGAACAACACATAGATGTGCTGACCCAACAAGAAGAACTCACCGATATGTTCTATGTTCTAGAACAACACATAGATGTGCTGACCCAACAAGAAGAACTCACCGATATGTTCTATGTTCTAGAACAACACATAGATGTGCTGACCCAACAAGAAGAACTCACCGATATGTTCTATGTTCTAGAACAACACATAGATGTGCTGACCCAACAAGAAGAACTCACCGATATGTTCTATGTTCTAGAACAACACATAGATGTGCTGACCCAACAATGAAGAACTCACCGATATGTTCTATGTTCTAGAACAACACATAGATGTGCTGACCCAACAATGAAGAACTCACCGATATGTTCTATGTTCTAGAACAACACATAGATGTGCTGACCCAACAATGAAGAACTCACCGATATGTGCCCACCTTCTCGTACATCTGGTACAGACTCTCGAATGCAGGGAACGACCCGACCAACAGAAGGCCACACAATCCCAGGTTTTGGATGGCGGCGTCGATGTTTTCTGGGGGGAGAGAGGGGTGGGGGAGGACTGATGTGGGTCAGGGAGAGATAGGTGGGGGAGGGCTGATGTGGGTCAGGGAGAGATGGGTGGGGGAGGGCTGATGTGGGTCAGAGAGAGATGGGTGGGGGAGGACTGATGTGGGTCAGGGAGAGACGGGTGGGGGAGGACTGATGTGGGTCAGGGAGAGATGGGTGGGGGAGGACTGATGTGGGTCAGGTAGAGTTGGGTGGGGGAGGACTGATGTGGGTCAGGGAGAGACGGGTGGGGGAGGACTGATGTGGGTCAGGGAGAGATGGGTGGGGGAGGACTGATGTGGGTCAGGGAGAGTTGGGTGGGGTAGGACTGATGTGGGTCAGGGAGAGGAGTGGGGGAGGACTGATGTGGGTCAGGGAGAGGAGTGGGGGAGGACTGATGTGGGTCAGGGAGAGATGGGTGGGGTAGGACTGATGTGGGTCAGGGAGAGATGGGTGGGGGGAGGACTGACGTGGGTCAGGGAGAGATGGGTGGGGAGGACTGACGTGGGTCAGGGGGAGATGGGTGGGGGGAGGACTGATGTGGGTCGGGGAGAGGAGTGTGGGAGGACTGATGTGGGTCAGGGAGAGATGGGTGGGGGGAGGACTGACGTGGGTCAGGGAGAGACGGGTGGGGAGGACTGACGTGGGTCAGGGGGAGATGGGTGGGGGAGGACTGATGTGGGTCAGGGAGAGGAGTGTGGGAGGACTGATGTGGGTCAGGGAGAGATGGGTGGGGGGAGGACTGACGTGGGTCAGGGAGAGATGGGTGGGGAGGACTGACGTGGGTCAGGGGGAGATGGGTGGGGGGAGGACTGATGTGGGTCAGGGAGAGGAGTGTGGGAGGACTGATGTGGGTCAGGGAGAGATGGGTGGGGGGAGGACTGACGTGGGTCAGGGAGAGACGGGTGGGGGAGGACTGACGTGGGTCAGGGAGAGATGGGTGGGGGAGGACTGACGTGGGTCAGGGAGAGATGGGTGGGGGAGGACTGACGTGGGTCAGGGAGAGACGGGTGGGGGAGGACTGATGTGGGTCAGGGAGAGATGGGTGGGGGGAGGACTGACGTGGGTCAGGGAGAGACGGGTGGGGGAGGACTGATGTGGGTCAGGGAGAGATGGGTGGGGGAGGACTGATGTGGGTCAGGGAGAGACGGGTGGGGGAGGACTGATGTGGGTCAGGGAGAGACGGGTGGGGGAGGACTGATGTGGGTCAGGGAGAGATGGGTGGGGGAGGACTGACGTGGGTCAGGGAGAGACGGGTGGGGGAGGACTGATGTGGGTCACATATAGGTGTCAAATGACATCTCGTGAATGTCAAGTGTGGACTAAGATTGGTAAATGTCACATAATGACTGAAAGCTGTTGTATGTCAGATATGAAATGACATTTGGGAAGTAACATAGGATGAATGTCAAATGTGGATGACATCTGTTAAATGTCAGGTGTGTGACATTGGTGAATATGGACTTGGACTGCTGGATGTCAGTTCGTCTCATGTCAGGGTTTTCGACAACACACAGCAAATGTGACCATAATGTGATGTAAGAACATACATGCGATCTGTGTCAAGACCTTACCTAGTCCATAATGTGTAGTAAGAACATACATGCGATGTGTGTCAAGGCCGTACCTAGTCCATAATGTGATGTAAGAACATACATGCGATGTGTGTCAAGGCCGTGCCTAGACCATAATGTGATGTAAGAACATACATGCGATGTGTGTCAAAGCCGTAACTAGACCATAATGTGATGTAAGAACATACATGCGATGTTTATCAAAGCCGTACCTAGACCATAATGTGCTGTAAGAACATACATGCGATGTGTATCAAAGCCGTACCTAGACCATAATGTGCTGTAAGAACATACATGCGATGTGTGTCAAAGCCGTACCTAGACCATAATGTGATGTAAGAACAGACATGAGATTGATATCAAGGCCATACCTAGACCGTAATGTGCCGCCGGGTACCTGCAGGACCCCAGGCAGTCGTTGACCCTGGATGACCAGTGCTTGACCACGTCCCAACATAGACGCACCACGGTGCCCTTCAGCAACCCCTCGAAGCCGTCTTTGATGGCCAGCACACTGAAGCCTCTAACCCAGTCAAAAGAAAATCTTACAATGTATACACACTGAAGCCTCTAACACAGTCAAAAGAAAATCTTACAATGTATACACACTGAAGCCTCTAACCCAGTCAAAAGAAAATCTTACAATGTATACACACTGAAGCCTCTAACACAGTCAAAAGAAAATCTTACAATGTATACACACTGAAGCCTCTAACCCAGTCAAAAGAAAATCTTACAATGTATACACACTGAAGCCTCTAACCCAGTCAAAAGAAAATCTTACAATGTATACACACTGAAGCCTCTAACCCAGTCAAAAGAAAATCTTACAATGTATACACACTGAAGCCTCTAACCCAGTCAAAAGAAAATCTTACAATGTATACACACTGAAGCCTCTAACCCAGTCAAAAGAAAATCTTACAATGTATACACACTGAAGCCTATAACCCAGTCAAAAGAAAATCGTACAATGTATACACACTGAAGCCTCTAACCCAGTCAAAAGAAAATCTTACAATGTATACACACTGAAGCCTCTAACCCAGTCAAAAGAAAATCTTACAATGTATACACACTGAAGCCTCTAACCCAGTCAAAAGAAAATCTTACAATGTATACACACTGAAGCCTCTAACCCAGTCAAAAGAAAATCTTACAATGTATACACACTGAAGCCTCTAACCCAGTCAAAAGAAAATCTTACAATGTATACACACTGAAGCCTCTAACACAGTCAAAAGAAAATCTTACAATGTATACACACTGAAGCCTCTAACCCAGTCAAAAGAAAATCTTACAATGTATACACACTGAAGCCTCTAACCCAGTCAAAAGAAAATCTTACAATGTATACACACTGAAGCCTCTAACCCAGTCAAAAGAAAAACTTACAATGTATACACACTGAAGCCTCTAACCCAGTCAAAAGAAAATCTTACAATGTATACACACTGAAGCCTCTAACCCAGTCAAAAGAAAATCTTACAATGTATACACACTGAAGCCTCTAACCCAGTCAAAAGAAAATCTTACAATGTATACACACTGAAGCCTCTAACCCAGTCAAAAGAAAATCTTACAATGTATACACACTGAAGCCTCTAACCCAGTCAAAAGAAAATCTTACAATGTATACACACTGAAGCCTCTAACCCAGTCAAAAGAAAAACTTACAATGTATATTTTTAGTCTTTTTATTTTAAACTTGTATCAATGTACTTTCGATGTTTTTAGGTCTGGGTGGTATTTGATATGGACGTGCCTTAAGTATTGGTCTCAGCAGTCAGGCAATGACGGAAAAGATATTATATTTTTTTTAGAATTGTATTCTCCTGTAGTAGTAAAGCCCTACAAATTCCCACAAGACAAAGTCATGACTAGCTCTACATAGTCCTACGGTAAAAGTCCTATAGTAGCACAGTCCTACAAAGGCCTACAGTAACAAATTTACTAAGCCCTACAGAGTTTTACAGTAAAACATGCCTACTGTAGAATTGTTTTACGCAGCCCTACATTAGTACATTCCTATACAGATTAATGTCCCACAAAGTCCTACAGTCTTGTACAGAGCTATAGTAGCACTGTCCTACATTGTCCTACAGCTCTATATTGAGCTATAGTAGCACTGTCCTACACCGTCCATCACTACCACAGACCCATCCCATCCTACCCGATCACCTACCTGCTCTGACAGAAGCCGACGAAAGACTTGATAATCAAGCACTGGCCCACACACGACCTCCCCACCTGATGACCTACCTGCTCTGGCAGAAGCCGACAAAAGACTTGATAATCAAGCACTGGCCCACACACGCCTTCCCCACCTGGATGACGGCCACGGTCCTGTCCCGGCTCAGTGGGAGATCGATAATCCCGGGGTTCGATCTCATGCTGTGCAGGAGGACGTAGGAGCTCAGGAGACTCTGCCACAGGAGATAAGAAGGTCACAGTCAAAATGTTAGAACATAGAATGTCTACAAAAAAAAACACCTGAAATGCCTGCCACAAACTACCCACCTGCAATAGCCATCTACCCACCTGAAAATGCCCTCTACCCACCTGTAACGCCATCCATACACCTGGAAATGCCCTCCAAACACCTGGAAATGCCCTCCAAACACCTGGAAATGCCCTCCAAACACCTGGAAATGCCATCCACCCACCTGGAAATGCCTGCCACCAACCTGGAAATGCCTGCCACCTACCTGAAAATACCTGCCACCCACCTGGAAATGCCTACCACCCACCTGGAAATGCCTGCCACCTACCTGAAAATACCTGCCACCCACCTGGAAATGCCCTCCACCAACCTGGTAATACCTGCCACCCACCTGCAAACGCCATCACCCACCTGCAAATACCTGCAACACACCTGGAAATGCCTGCAACCCACCTGGAAATACCTGCCACCCACCTGCCTACCACCCACCTGGAAATGCCCTCCACCCACCTGGAAACACCTGCCACCCACCTGGAAATGCCTGCCCCGCAGACGCACGGCCTCCATGAAGTTCTTGTCAACCAGATGATGCTCCAGGAGATCGTTGGTCTCCAGACATTTCTCCATGGACATGTGTGAGATCTCGTTCCCGTTGATGCCGATGACGCAGGATCCATGCTCGTCCGTCAGGCCTTTGAGCGCCACAACGGCCTCCGCCCCCATTCTTGCCGCTATGACCCGGTCATAGGCGGAAGGCACCCCACCACACTGGGGGAGAGAGGTCATAGGTGAACCGTGGGGCGCCGCCCTGGTCGATTTAAATGGCGTCACACACTAAATACCTGGGGGGGGGGGGGAGGGGCAAGCTTTCGCGATATCCTTATTAGGATAACGGGTTTATAACAGATGTATCAAAAGTATCAAACGATCTTGTTTGGTTTTCGTTACACGTAAAACGTGTAGCAACGTGTGTCAAAATACTGTAAACAGGACGCCTGTTTGAAATATGATCTGTGACATCTAATCAGATGACCAACAAAACAAGTGACCAGGCGATCTGACCGACTGACCCATTGACCCACATGACTTCACATGACCCAGGACAGTAGATATTAAAGCTTCTCTGTGAGCAGCCGATGAGCTGTTTGACTGCCTATTTGACCCACTAACCAAATGTCCCACTGACCGACTGACCAACTGACCCACTGACCGACTGACCAACTGACCCACTGATCCTCTGACCGACTGACCAACTGACCCACTGACCGACTGACATGACCATGACCCAGCACTGTGGCCTGGCAGTTTATGTTAAGCTTCTCTGTGAGTGGCCGATTGGTTGACCGACTGACCCACTGACCACTGACCAACTGACCGACTGACCCACTAACCCACTAACCCACTGACCGACTGACCAACTGACCGACTGACCCACTGACCTGGACATGACCCAGCACTGTGGCCTGGCAGTTGATGTTAAGCTTCTCTGTGAGTGGCCGATTGGTTGACCGACTGACCCACTGACCCACTGACCGACTGACCCACTGACCTGGACATGACCCAGCACTGTGGCTTGGCAGTTGATGTTAAGCTTCTCTGTGAGAACACAACACACGTCAGACGAGGTGATCGGTTTCCCAAACCTATCGGTGGCACCCTCGGACACGAAGATGATGATACACTCCACCCCCATCAGGTGGTCGTCTCGCACCTGTAGGTGAGTACAAGACATACAGGTAAGCTACAGGTGAGCTACAGGTGAGCTACAGACATACAGGTAAGCTACAGGTGAGGTACATGTGAGCTACAGGTAAGCTACAGGTGAGGTACAGGTGAGGTACAGGTGAGCTACAGACATACAGGTTAGCTACTGGTGAGCAACAGGTGAGTTACAGGTGAGCTACAGGTGAGCTACAGGTGAGGTACAGGTGAGCAACAGGTGAGCTACAGGTGAGCTACAGACATACAGGTTAGCTACTGGTGAGCAACAGGTGAGTTACAGGTGAGCTACAGGTGAGCTACAGGTGAGGTACAGGTGAGCTACAGGTGAGCTACAGGTGGGCTACAGGTGAGTTACAGGTGAGCAACAGTTGAGCTACAGGTGAGGTACAGGTGAGCAACAGTTGAGCTACAGGTGAGCTACAGACATACAGGTAAGCTACAGGTGAGCTACAGGTGAGGTACAGGTGAGCTACAGGTGAGGTACAGGTGAGGTACAGGTGAGCTACAGGTGAGCTACAGGTGAGTTACAGGTGAGATACGGGTGAGCTACAGGTGAGCTCCAGGTGAGTTACAGGTGAGCAACTGGTGAGCTACAGGTGAGCTACAGGTGAGCAACTGGTGAGGTACGGGTGAGCTACAGGTGAGCTCCAGGTGAGTTACAGGTGAATTACGGGTGAGCTACAGGTGAGCTACAGGTGAGCTACAGGTGAGATACGGGTGAGCTACAGACATACAGGTAAGTTACAGGTGAGCTACAGACTTAGGGGAATAGGCTACATCGACATAGGTGTAAGCGTAAGCTACATTAACATGGATGTAACTAAGGGCTATATCACATGGATGTCACCTTGGGCTACCTCAGCATAAAATTAATCATGGCTTACAGTAGCAAAACGCTAAAAGAGGTAGAATTTAAAAATAAAGTCTTATTGGCTTAAGTTATATCTAGTTTCTCTCAATCCTACATATTGATGTACTCCCCCGCCATTGTACATAAACCTCCCACCCCCACCTCCACCTCACCTTGCTGTACAGCTCCTCCCTCCAGTCCCCCTGCGGCGGCCACTCAGGTAGAAACACCATGCTGGCATCACACGCCACAGCAGCTGCTAGAGCCAGGTAGCCGCTCGTCTTCCCCATCACCTGCAACAATGGAAGCACTGGTCACGCATGAGCGGATGTTATAGCACATCCATGACAAAACCTACATCCAGGACAACCCTTTTTTCAGTCACGACAACCAACATCCTTGACAGCTAACCTCAATATCAACTCATCCCCATGACAACCCGCCCCATAATAACGTACTTCCATGACAACCCACCTTCATGACAACCCACCCCCATGACAACCCACCTCTATAACAACCAACCCCATGACAACCCGTCCCCATGACAACCCACCCCCATGACAACCCACCTCTATAACAACCAACCCCATGACAACCCGTCCCCATGACAACCCACCCCCATGACAACCCACCTCTATAACAACCAACCCCATGACAACCCGCCCCATGACAACCCACCTCCATGACAACCCGACCCATGACAACCTGCCCCATGACAACCCGCCCCATAACAACCCACCTCCATGATAACCCACCCCATGACAACCCGCCCCATGACAACCCCCCTCTATAACAACCCGCCCCATGAAAACCCCTCTTTATAACAGCCCGCCCCATGACAACCCCTCTATAACAGCCCGCCCCATGACAACCCCTCTATAACAACCCGCCCCATGACAACCCCTCTATAACAGCCCGCCCCATGACAACCCCTCTATAACAACCCGCCCCATGACAACCCCTCTATAACAGCCCGCCCCATGACAACCCCTCTATAACAACCCGCCCCATGACAACCCCTCTATAACAGCCCGCCCCATGACAACCCCTCTATAACAGCCCGCCCCATGACAACCCCTCTATAACAACCCGCCCCATGACAACCCCTCTATAACAGCCCGCCCCATGACAACCCCTCTATAACAGCCCGCCCCATGACAACCCCTCTATAACAACCCGCCCCATGACAACCCCTCTATAACAACCCGCCCCATGACAACCCCTCTATAACAACCCGCCCCATGACAACCCACCTCTATAACAGCCCGCCCCATGACAACCCGCCTCTATAACAACCCGCCCCATGACAACCCCTCTATAACAACCCGCCCCATGACAACCCACCATGACAACCCCTCTATAACAGCCCGCCCCATGACAACCCCTCTATAACAACCCGCCCCATGACAACCCACCTCTATAACAAAGGCAGCCCGGGTACTGCTGGCACTGGTGGCGATGGCGTCGGTGGCCTCCAGGATTTTGTGAATGGCCGAGTTGGCCCCGATGGCCATGTCAGTGCCGCAGACGTCATTGACGATGCTGGACACGATGCCAACCACTCTCAGACTTTTATACCTGCAACAACACAGGTCAACACACGGTCAACACACGTTCAATACACGGTCAACACACGGTCAACACACGGTCAACACACGGTCAACACACGGTCAACACACAGAAAACACATAAACAACACACGGTCAACACACGGTCAACACACGGTCAGCACACGGTCAGCACACGGTCAGCACACGGTCAGCACACGGTCAGCACACGGTCAGCACACGGTCAGCACACGGTCAGCACACGGTCAGCACACGGTCAGCACACGGTCAGCACACGGTGAACACACGGTGAACACACGGCGAACACACGGCGAACACACGGCGAACACACGGCGAACACCCGGCCAGCACACGGCCAGCACACGGTCAGCACACGGTCAGCACACGGTCAGCACACGGTCAGCACACGGTGAACACACGGTGAACACACGGCGAACACACGGCGAACACACGGCGAACACACGGCGAACACCCGGCCAGCACACGGTCAGCACACGGTCAACACACGGCCAGCACACGGTCAGCACACGGTCAGCACACGGTCAGCACACGGTCAACACACGGCCAGCACACGGTCAGCACACGGTCAGCACACGGTCAACACACGGCCAGCACACGGTCAGCACACGGTCAACACACGGCCAGCACACGGTCAGCACACGGTCAGCACACGGTCAGCACACGGTCAGCACACGGTCAACGAACGGCCAGCACACTTAGCACACAGACAAAACACAATGAACACAATCGAAAACCTTTTCTATTTGCACGGCCACAGACTGAACATTCAGTGGTATCTATTTTAAGTTCGTCATTCAAAAATTGAAAATCATGGCGAATTTTTATCTTAGTTAAAATGTTTTAATTTTGAAAAACTTTTAGAAAACGTTTTCTAAAAAACTTTTTTTTAAGAAAAAATCCATTGAGAAAATTGACGAGCAATGTAATATTTAAACTTTTTATTAGTATAGGCTTACTTCAGATACAAAATGATTTTATTCAGTGCCAGTAAAATCCAGTTTCTGTGAACTCTAATTTTGTATATTTAAAAGTATATTTATAGAAGTCTTTACTAAGGGAAGATACTTCTCTTTTCAGTAAGAAAACCATATATCTTAGTTGCTTCCCTTTACTATTTTTTCTTCTGATTTCAGCCAGACTCACAATAGATTTTAGATAAGAGAAACTAACTTGTGCAAGAGACTTTTATCCACCAAGTTTTTGTCGTCCAGGCTACGAATGATACTCTGCCACTCTTTCTGTAATGAGTGGACCCCTATTGGAAGAGAGAGATTAGTTATGTTTTGGTTATAGCTAGACTGGGGTTTTAAGGCAGAAAGGGGTCATCCAAAAATGACGTCACGCTTTTTTTGACGATTTTTACCTCCACCCCTCCCCTCCGTCACACGTCGTCACAAAAAGCCAGACCCCCCCCCCTAAAATGACGTCACACCTCAACCTACAAACCCCCTCAAAATTGCAGTTGAATTTTTTTTAAACGTCGATATTTTTCCAAAATCTTGTCTAAACTATTACAATTTATTAAAACAGTTATCTGAAACACGAAATAACGTCTAAAATTCGTTTTCTAACATTGCTTTTTTATAATGCAAAAATGTGACGTCGCAACATCTGACCCCCCCCCCCCCCCTCACCCTCATCACACATCGTCACAAAATTACGGACCCCTCCCCCCTACGAGTGTGACGTCATTAATGGATGACCGCAAAGTTGTACGTAATAGGTTTTGATATTTCTAAAATTCACGCAAAACCTCGACTAATAATGCCAGCCGTAATTACTAAAGAAATACATGCATCTTCTGAAATTGAAATATGGATAATTGTCGTAATTAAAAAAAAAATAAACCTTCGCTTCAAAATATAAAAACTTTCTGTTTTTGTATGTTCATTCGAGCATTTGTTTAGTTCTCGTAAAACTCCTTATGGGTAATCGTCCGGCTCCCATCTGTTATATTAAATGTAACACCTTCTCAAACCTGGTGGTCAATAGAGCAGATGAAGTAGAGTTTATCTCTTTCTCCGACCTTGTGTATGTCCAGTGGCCTTTACTTTTGCTAGCGTCAATCGGTTACCCATCAGAGTTGGGTGGACTCAGGGATTTGAACTCGAGACTTTTGGGCTATATATGAAGCTCTCTATCTGCTACCACTAACCTGTGACGCTACCGTGCGGCGTCAATTCGGCCAATCACGAAACGGCCCCGTCAAAACGACCCCGTCAAATCGGCCCCGTCAAAAGGGCCAGCGCCATATGGACCCCGTCATATAGGCTCCCGACAAATAGGCTCCCGTCATTTAGGCTACCGACAAATAGGCTCCCGTTATATAGGCTCCCGACAAAAGGGCTCCAGTCAATAAGGCTCCTGACAAATAGGCTCCCGTCATTTTGGCTCCCGACATATAGTCTCCCGTCATTTAGTTTTTTCCACAAAACGGCCCCCGTCATTACGACTCCCGACAAATAGGCTCCCGCCATTTAGTTTCTCCACAAAACGGCCCCCGTCATTACGACTCCCGACAAATAGGCTAGCGTCATTTTGGCTCCCGACAAAAAGGCTCCTGTCAATTTGGCTCCAGACAAAAGGACCACTGACACAGTGGCGTAGCTACCGTAAAGCTAGCGTAAGCAAGGCATGGGGGCCCAAGGCACATAGGGGCCCTTTCCCTCATAAAAAATTAAAACTTTTACAATGGAATTTTAATATTTGTTACATATAAATAATTTTAAAAAAGAAAAAGGTTAAAAGTTCCAAAAAGCCCCCCCCCCCCCCCCACCGATTCGGCAGTGGGATTCAGTGTTTGTGGGTCAAACAGAGCCCAATCGTTATAATAACACTACAGGCTATATCACTTTGTCGTGCAGGACATTGAGAGAATCAGCCTATAAATAAACTTTTTAGCAGTAGTAGGCAAGCATAATAATATAGTATAAATACAAAATCAGGACATATAAAATACAAAATGTTGCCGTCAGAATATTTATATATTAAAAAATATCCATCGTAAGTAGAAGTTGATCTCTTCGTTTAACTCCTCTGTAGCCTAACGCAGAGGCGTAGCGAAGGCGAGGTGGGGGGTGCGGACCGCAACGGGTGACACCATTTAGGGGGGGGGGGGGTGACACCAAAGGCAAAAAATTGTAAAATTTATAGAATGAAATGCCATTTTCCAGATCCATTAGTTAAAGTTAAATAGTCTTCTAAGTACAAATCGAAAATTATATCAAGAGGGGGGGGGGGGGTGTGACACCACGACGTAAACGTAAACTATAAAGAAAACAATGCTACATCCAACTGTATTATAAACAGACTGTAGATAAACATCGTTACTATTAAGTCAGCAGTGATTAAAGCTTAAACACGTACGTGTACCAGTATGTGGCATATATATAAATTTTAGGCCTATGTAGGCCGACACACACACACACACACACACACACACATATATATATATATATATATATATATATATATATATATATATATATATATATATATATATATATATATATATATATATATATATATATATATATACACATATATATATACACACACACACACACACACACATATATATATATATATATATATATATATATATATATATATATATATATATATATATATATATATATATATATATATATATATATATATATATATATATATATATATATATATATATATATATGCTTTGTTTCCTGGGAGGGGGTGACAATACGAAGTGCCGCACCGGGTGAGACCCGACCTAGCGACGCCACTGGCCTAACGGCTGACGAAGGGGCCCACTGATAATTTTTGCATAGGGGCCCAAAAATCCTATCTACGCCACTGCACTGACAATACCGTTTCTGTAGAGACTAAGTCTCACGGCAAAGCGGTCTCATTGAATATGACATCTGCCAGTGGGACCCCTTCATCAATATTCTTTAGAGTTAGCTTATCCAACACTTTTATGTAATACAACGTATGCATCTCTTGTTCGGCAGGCCTTATTTTTATATTAGTTTATCTATTATAAAATATAGTATGTTTTAATTTAAGGGTCCTCTATCTATGACATCCATAATTGAGTCGGTTATAGGCTGTTCCAACTCATTGTGTGGGGAGAAGGGTCCATGCTGTACCTTCCTAACTGCAATATGCTTGTACAGGGGCGTAGCGAGGGGGGGGGGGGGCGGGGGGGGGTGAGGACCGCACCGGGTGACACCATTTAGGGGGGTGACACAAAGGCAAAAAATAGCAAAATATATAGAGAAAAAGTTGAGGGGGTAGGGGTGCAAATCGAAAGTGTGGGGGGGGGGTGCAAATCGAAAACTTGAAAGTTTGTCCCCGGGAAGGGTCGCAACGCCTCTGGGGGGGGGGGGCACCATTAAGTGCCGCACCGGGTGACAACCGACCTCGCTACGCCACTGTGCTTGTAGGTCATCAAAACAAAATGCTGTTATCATGTTAACATCATGTATATCATACATTTACACTTCTGTGCTCGCTTTTAAGCAACAGATCTTTTCTGTTGTAAATTAAACATTATCAAAACTTTAGAATTGGTGGAATTTAGCTGTTAAGGGCTCGATTTGTTTGTGAATTAATGTTGGTTCATGAAAAAATAATTTCATTTGGGCATTAAAAAGAGGTTATGGTGGTATTGGAGGTAGGACACAATGGTTACTTGTATGCCAATAGTGGTCATATCATTCATTTTTCTGGAGCCAATATGTCGGGAGTCATTTTGTCAAAAGCCAATATGTCGGGAGCCCAATTGCGGGGAGCCAATATGTCGGGAGCCCATTTGTCGGTAGCCAAAATGTCGTGAGCCCATTTGCCGGGAGCCCATTTGTCTTGAGCCCTTATGTCGGGAGCCAATATGTCGGGAGCCGCTTTGTCGGGAGCCAATATGTCCTGAGCCTATTTGTCAGGGGTTAATATGTCGGGAGTTTATTTGTCGGGAGCCTAAATATCGGGAGCCCATTTGTCGGGAGCCTATATGTCGCAAGTCAATATGACGGGAGCCCATTTGACGGGAGCCAATAAGTCGGGGCCCTTTTGACGGGGCTATTTTGACGGGGTCGGTTTGTCGGGAGTCGATTTGACGGGGTCGTATTAACGGGGCCGTTTTGACGGGGTCGATTTGTCCCGGGCCGTTTTGACAGGGCACCGACGCTACATACCTTTGAGCGTCTCTCTACTAGGTAAACCTGTGACGCTACATACCTTTGAGCGTCTCTCTACTCTACTAGGTAAACCTGTGACGCTACATACCTTTGAGCGTCTCTCTACTAGGTAAACCTGTGACGCTACATACCTTTGAGCGTCTCTCTACTAGGTAAACCTGTGACGCTACATACCTTTGAGCGTCTCTCTACTAGGTAAACCTGTGACGCTACATACCTTTGAGCGTCTCTCTATCTGCTACCACTAAGCTGTGACGCTACATACCTTTGAGCGTCCCGTCTCCGCCTATAGCTACAATATTTTACATACCTTTGAGCGTCCCGTCTCCGCCTATAGCTACAATATTTTACATACCTTTGAGCGTCCCGTCTCCGCCTATAGCTACAATATTTTACATACCTTTGAGCGTCCCGTCTCCGCCTATAGCTACAATATTTTACATACCTTTGAGCGTCCCGTCTCCGCCTATAGCTACAATATTTTACATACCTTTGAGCGTCCCGTCTCCGCCTAAAGCTACAATATTTTACATACCTTTGAGCGTCCCGTCTCCGCCTATAGCTACAATATTTTGAATGCCGTTTTCGATCAAATTTTTCGCAGCTTTCATTCGAGTGGCCCGTTCCACAAACTCGGGACATTTACACCTGTAAAGAGACAAAATATTTGACATTTACACCTGTAAAGAGACAAAATATTTGACATTTACACCTGTAAAGAGACAAAATATTTGACATTTACACCTGTAAAGAGACAAAATATTTGACATTTACACCTGTAGAGAGTAAACAGATTTGACATTTGCACCTGTAAAGAGACAACATATTTGACATTTACACCTGTAGAGAGTAAACAGATTTGACATTTACACCTGTAAAGAGACAACAGATCGGGCATTTGCACCTGTAAAGAGACAACAGATTGGGCATTTGCACCTGTAAAGAGACAACAGATTGGGCATTTGCACCTGTAAAGAGACAACAGATTGGGCATTTGCACCTGTAAAGAGACAACAGATTGGGCATTTGCACCTGTAAAGAGACAACATATTTGACATTTACACCTGTAAAGAGACAACATATTTGACATTTACACCTGTAAAGAGACAACATATTTGACATTTACACCTGTAAAGAGACAACATATTTGACATTTACACCTGTAAAGAGACAACATATTTGACATTTACACCTGTAAAGAGACAACATATTTGACATTTACACCTGTAAAGAGACAACATATTTGACATTTACACCTGTAAAGAGACAACATATTTGACATTTACACATGTAAAGAGACAACATATTTGACATTTACACATGTAAAGAGACAACATATTTGACATTTACACCTGTAAAGAGAAAACAGATTGGGCATTTGCACCTGTAAAGAGACAAACACTTGTCTTTTATTCCTGTACAAACAAAACTTTGTTATTAAAATTGGCTCTTAAGATGTCTGGTTGCTCACACCTCAAAATAAAACAAGCCTTAAACCCCGTCCACCCCACCACACATAGCAGATGATACACCACCCATCTCGGCTAATATCACGTTATCCATCGCTCTGGTCTAGTGTAAGATACCCCCTCCCCTGACTCACGCACACCCATTCCCCTTGCCTAACATCAGGTTACTCCCGAGCATAATTAAGCCTAACCCTAACACACAGACTCGAACCACAACCCCATTTGACCGTCCAGCACACCCTCACGACTCTACCTACTTCACCACCGACCACATCACATTCGTTTAGCAAATGAAAAAACTAGAACCAAAACCATACATCGAATTCTAATTATCACGTCCTCTTTACTAATATGCTTCCCTACATCCAAAATTATCCTTAAAACCGCGGGTTCAAACCCAAACCACAACCAACAAACCAGGAGGTAGTTACGTTTTCAGGATGGTGCCTCCCACCCCTGCGATGTCTTCTGTGGAGATCCAGGAGGCCTCAGTGAAGTTGTCACCGCCAGCCACCATACCCTTGAAGCCTTGCTTGATGTACATCACGGTACAGCCGAGGTAGTGGGCCATCCTGACTACGGCACGGATGGCGGCGTTCATGCCCTGGGTGGGGAGGGTAGGGCAGGGTGATATGTGGTGAGATGTAGTGAGATGTGTTGAGGTGTGGTGAGATACGGTAGGTACACATAGTGAGGTATGGTGATGTATCGGATAAAATATGGTAAGATGTGAAAGATATGAAGATATATATATATATATATATATATATATATATATATATATATATATATATATATATATATATATATATATATATATATATATATGTATATATACTAGCCGTCCCGGCCAGGCCCTGCTCTGGCTTCTGTGAAAAACCTTTCTGTTAAAGACCGTTACCTGTGTGTTTAGTAATCATCATAAACCCGGCATTGCCCACCCAAACCATTTTTTTTAAAATTGTGCTTAATGAACATGCCGACAATTATTACTATCAGTTTGAAAAATGAAAATTATTTCCCAACACTTTCAACAGTAATTTTTTAACTCATAAATTTAGACTAAGAGCACGGTAATAGTCTAACACTTAAATCCATAGAAGTATGTCAACGACAAACAAACTTTTTACATGTTACATACAGAATTGAGCTTTATATATTTTATATATATATATATATATATATATATATATATATATATATATATATATATATATATATATATATATATATATATATATAGTAAGATATGTAAGAGTGCATATACTGTAATATGGTGAGCAATATGACAATCCATGATGATGTAGTATGAGATATTTTAAGAAATTGTAAGATAAAGTAAAATATGGTGAGATTTGCTGAATCCATATGATGGGATATTATATGAGCAGCGTGACTATACATGGTAAGACAAGATGGTGAATTATGGTGAGACGTTGTGAAACATTATGAAACTATAGTGGGCTCACAAGATAAGTCGTGGTGAATACACATGATTTACCTTTCTGAAAGTCAAAGAGACACAACCCGTATGCTTTTTTAAAGTAGTATTTTTACAGTTACCTCCCTTGAGTTAAGGCTTATTGTTTATTTATTTAATTTTCTACAGTTTCCGTTTAATACTTATTTGATTAAAAATTTAAATGCATTTAATGCGTGTTTACTAAGGATTTACTAAGGATAGTTTTCAATGATTATCTAAAACTTAGTTTGGTAACTTCCCTTTAATAAATCGTAATAAACTATAACTAGATTCCCTATAGTCGGTAAAAATACCCAGTGGACTTTCTTGACGATATTTTGTTTTGTATTATCATTATGACGCCAGTGGTACAACAACCATGTAACCAAGGCTGATCTGTTAGTCACTGGTATTTGACCAGTGTTTTTTTTTCAGACTTTTTTCATTGGGGGGGGGGGGGGGCACTTGAAATCTTAGGGGGGGGGGTGGACTAGATTTACCGGGGGCGGTCGGTGGACACGCGTAAAGTATTTATTTTCTGTGCAAATTCTATTTCGTTCGGGGGAGGGGGGGGGGGGTAGACCGTAGGCGTTATTCGGTTGGGGGAAAGAATCTCTGGTATTGGATGGAAAACTGTGTGGATGTAACACATTAAGAAGATTTCCCCCCCCCCCCCCTCCACCCCTGGCGTGTCTTCTTCGCTTGCACAGACCCAAAATAGAAAAGTTGTATCGCTTGCCTAAACAATTAGTCCACACTTTATTTCTATTTCTTTATCATTTTTTTTTCTCTGTTGGTCCATGAGTTTGCAAAAGACAGACCTGGAGGCGGAGTCTTCTCGAAGAACTAAAGACAGCAGGAATGTCTTGGGAGGTTGCTAAATCAACAGCCGGGGATAGGAGGAGGTTATTGTTGAGGCCCTAAGCTCCGCAAGGAGTAGAGAGGACTTAGTCGAGTAGGTCAAGTTTGGATTCAAACTCTTATCAACAAAAATACGGGTAGGGATTTTGACAAGCGCCAACAAATTTTAGGAAATGGGAGGGGGGCACACCAAGATGTGTTTGTATTTTAAAAACGAGGCGCCAAGATTTGCTAGTGTTTTTTTTTTATAAATCTATATATATAATTCTCTTCTTGGAAACGTTAGAAAACAACAAGCTGTAAGCGCGCCTTGCAGTCCCCTCTCTTCTTCTCTAGGCATATCGCAACCACCCCCCACCCCCACATGGTCTGGTGAGCTGTGGTTCACGCTAAATGTTTACAATCATAGAGCCGGGTTTAGTGACGCCTATAAGGGACAGATAATTTAGTTTAAAACTATTTTAAACTTAGGGGAGGTAACTAAGAGGATGCTGCTTTCACGGGGGGGGGGGGGGGGGTTGGGGAAAAGGAGGGTTTTAGTGTTTTAAAGCAAATAATTTCAGTAACAGCATTCAAATTATGAATTACTGAAAAGTAGAAAATAAAACAACTAAATAGCGGCGTATAATTCGCCGTGGATCGGCTCGTATATTTAATTAATTTAATATGATAAAATTTATGTAAGCCGCTGTTCTGTGCCATCATTAACCTACAACTTGGATCAGTTGTTTTTTGTTTTTTTTTAAAAAAGACGCATGAGATTTTATATTTCATTATAGTTCAAAAAGACAGAACAAATAAATATTTGTACTTTCCATTTATTCTACAGCATAATAAACCGTCGTAAAAATTGGCATCCTAGAAAAAGGCTATCTCTTTCAACTGCTTGTAAAAGACGTTTTATTATAAGCAGTGCGGCTAGACGCGAATACAAGATTATTTGAATGCTATCCACCCATTTTACCTATATTTCATTGGCCCATATTACTTTATGTAATTCACATGTTACCAGTTTGATGACTCATTAATACCCGCATGCAATAAGCCAAACCCAAGTGTGTGTGATCCACAAATATTGCATGTCCTGTATGTAGTCCACTCATATGACCTGTATGTGGACCACATATATGACCTGTATGTGGTCCACCTATATTACCTGTATGTGGCCCACCTAGATGACCTGTATGTGGTCCACTTATATGACCTGTATGTGGTCCACCTATATTACCTGTATGTGGTCCACCTACCTGTATGTGGTCCACTTATATGACCTGTGGTCCACCTATATGACCTGTATGTGGTCCACCTATATGACCTGTATGTGGTCCACCTGTATGACCTGTATGTGGCCCACCTATATGACCTGTATGTGGTCCACTCATATGACCTGTATGTGGACCACATATATGACCTGTATGTGGTCCACCTATATGACCTGTATGTGGTCCACCTATATGACCTGTATGTGGCCCACCTATATGACCTGTATGTGGTCCACCTATATGACCTGTGGTCCCACCTGTGAAAGATTACCTGTATGTGGTCCACCTATCTATATGTGGTCCACCTACCTGTATGTGGTCCACTTTTATGACCAGTGGTCGACCTATATGACCTGTATGTGGTCCACCTGTATGACCTGTGGTCCCACCTGTGAAAGATTACCTGTGAATCGTCCCCAGCAGTAAAGACAGCCAGCTTAGCATCGCTCCACGAGTTGTGCAACTTGTTCATCAGACGACTGTTGGACGCGGGCTTCGAGCCCGCCCTAGACACTGATACCGAGCCGGCCTGTAACCATAGCAGCAGCAATGTTATCGTTAGCTCACGGTTAAAGTCAGACGTGTAAGAACTAACTACCACGTACAGTATGGATCCCTAAACCATAACACGTCTTTACCTAACCCGACTTGGTTCTCCCTCTAGCTGCCACGTTTGATCATAGCCCTGACCTATGATAGGTACCTATCATAGCCCTGACCTATAATGGGTACCTATCATAGCCCTGGCCTATAATGGGTACCCATCATAGCCCTGGCCTATAATGGGTACCCATCATAGCCCTGACCTGTAATGGGTACCTATCATAGCCCTGACCTATAATGGGTACCTATCATAGCCCTGACCTATAATGGGTACCTGACTCACGTTAGGGAAAGTAAAGGCGGCTCAGCGTTGTGCTGACCACATGATCCTTTTATATTTATGCCGTGGTCCAGAGACAAGTTAACTCTACTTCATCTACCGTATGGACCGTCTAGTCCGTAAAGGGCTACTATACATTTACTTTACAGTTAGGGTTTTAGTCAGGCAGAAAAAAAAATTAAAAGCTCATTTCAGCTGCAGTTTTGCATTATAAATATTGAAAGTTTGTTCCCCGCGGGGGGGGGGGGGGGTTGCGCCAAATTGAAGGTTTGTCCCCAGTCGCCGGGAAGGGTCGCTACGCCTCTGGTGATACCAACCTAGGAACGCCAGTGGGGTTTGGGAGAGGGACAGTCTAGATCTAGGTCTAGACTAGATCTAGAAATGTGCAATGGTCATGACCGAGTTGACGAGAATCCTTCCATCATCATTGTTGACATGGAAGGGAAACTATTTTTTTAGATTTTTGCAATCAAAACGACAGTAAAAAAAAATATTTAAAAAAAAATTAAGCCTGAAAATAATTCAGAAATTTTATATTTTTAGAATTAACGTTATAGAAGTTGCAAATCCAGAGAACTTTAAAATATTGTTTTTTTTTTAGTTTAAGACTACATTTCTATTTATTTTCATCAAGCCTGAGTTATAACCTGATATCTATCTCACTTTCGTAAGACAAACATTGTTTGGCTGTATAGGAGCTCCATGATCGATATTCTGAAAACTCTACTTCATTAAAAAAAAAAAAACTTATCGTAATTTGTACAAAAATTTGCCGATACAACTTTTGGATCTTCTCCAGATAACCCTTTGCACCAAAATGTGCACGGGCGAAAAGTTCAGTCCCGACACTTTTTGCTAGCACCAATTTAATGCACGCACGCAAGCTTCGCTTATTTCTGGTGTCTAGACATTTGAACATTTAAACAGTGTTTCTTCCAGACTTTTTTCTTCGGGGGTGGGGGGGGGGCATTTGAAATTTTCGGGGGGGGGGGGGCGGTAGACTTCTTCGGGGGGGGGGGGGCGCGGACACTGTTAAAATTATATATTTTCTATATAAATTATATAAATTTCATTTCGTTCGGGGGGGGGGGGCGGCGGTAAAAAATTTCGGGGGGCTTTGCCCCCCCCCCCCTAAGAGATGCCTGGAAGAAATTCCATTAAACGCACGCCATAAAAACAACTTCTTATCCCCTTCTATGGTTAGGGTAGGGGTACCGATAAGAATTGGAATAAGGTTAGGGATTGGATTAGGGTAGGGATAAAGATAAGAATAGGGAAAGGGAGAGGGTTAAGGGTAGGGTAGGGTAGGGTAGGGTAGGGTAGGGTAGGGTAGGGTAGGGTAGGGTAGGGTAGGGTAGGGTAGGGTCGGGTAGGGTAGGGTAGGGTAAGGTAGGGTAGGTTAGGTTAGGGTAGGGTCGGGTAGGGTAGGGTAGGGTAAGGTAGGGTAGGTTAGGGTAGGGTAGGGTAGGGTACAGTAGGGTAGGCTAGGGTAGGGTAGGGTAGGGTAGGGTTGGGGTAGGGGTAGGGGTAGGGGTAGGGTTGGGGTTAAAACCTAAAATTACATTTTAATAATAACATCGTCCTTGATGTTTTAATTTATTTACTGGGCATTTCAAACAACTTTGAGTGACTCTTTTCTGAGATTCTCGGTTGGGTCCAAGAAGTGTTGGGTCCAAGACGTTTGAATTTAACTATGAAATACCGCCAGAAGTTATACTTACCGACATTTGTATAGCGAATTAGATAGATCTATATGGACTCAAAGAGAAAAAGTAAATTTTTACAAGATAAGTTTTGAGGAATACATTTAGATCTAGATCAAAGATCTTGATCTAGAATCAGGACTTAAGATATATTGCGGTGTTTTCACCCCACAGGAAGTTAGTCACGTAAACAAAAACAAAAATAATTCATAGAATTGACCCCTTAAAATGATGACGTCATTTCTACCAAAGTTTTTGTGTTAAAGGCTATTTGCATTCGCTATGGAATAAAGAAAATAAATATCACATTTATTTATAAAAAAGAGTAAAGCGGGGTAGGGGGGAGGTTCCCTTAAACTTTCTTGTATATTTGGATATATCACCACGTGTGTGAGGTTAGCTGTGTCACCACTAGAGTAAAGTGACTTGTGTCACCACTTACTTGGGTCACCACTTGTGTGAAGTTACTTGGGTCACCACTTGTGTGAATTTACTTGGGTCACCACTTGTGTGAATTTACTTGGGTCACCACTTGTGTAAAGTTACTTGGGTCACCACTTGTGTTAAGTTATTTGGGTCACCACTTGTGTGAATTTATATGGATCACCACTTGTGTGAAGTTACTTGGGTCACCACTTGTGTGAAGTTACTTGGGTCACCACTTGTGTGAATTTACTTGGGTCACCACTTGTGTGAAGTTACTTGGGTCACCACTTGTGTGAAGTTACTTGGATCACCACTTATGTGAAGTTATTTATGTCACCACTTGAGTAAAGTGACTTGTGTCACCACTTACTTGGGTCACCACTTGTGTGAAGTTACTTGGGTCACCACTTGTGTGAAGTTACTTGGGTCACCACTTGTGTGAATTTACTTGGGTCACCACTTGTGTGAAGTTACTTGGGTCACCACTTGTGTGAATTTACTTGGGTCACCACTTGTGTGAAGTTACTTGGATCACCACTTATGTGAAGTTATTTATGTCACCACTTGAGTAAAGTGACTTGTGTCACCACTTACTTGGGTCACCATTTGTGTGAAGTTACTTGGATCACCACTTATGTGAAGTTACTAGTATCACCACTTGTGTTAAGTTACTTGGGTCATCACTTATGTGAAGTTACTAGTATCACCACTTGTGTTAAGTTACTTGGGTCACCACCGGGTTATTTGACTCTAGATACGAGTGCATAAAACCGGGAGACGAGGTATCATACACAAGATGGCCGCCGCCAGCCGAACGAAACGCATGACAAATCTCGGTTAGTGGTTTCACCACACATTTCTAATAGCCGCTAAATTTTACGCTTGACTGCGTCAGCTATGATGTACACGTTTGAGTATTCTAAATAAACTCTAACCCCCTCCCCTCCATCGACCGTCCAACTCCCCCCCCCCCCATCACTCTCCCCTCACAGCACCTGAAAATAGACTGTCTATCTGACAAATTAAAATAAAATTTTAACCCATTTTTTTTCACCCTCTTTTTGAGCCACAGAGCAAGGTGAATCAGACGCACAACAGCGAAGGTCAAGCTATCTAGGTCATGAATGCCGCAAACTAATTGCACTAAGTGTTAAAATAAAGAGGGCTGTGATGTAACTCTGAGAAATGTTACAGCGGTTCTGCGGTTCTCAGGTGTTCATTTATGTAACTTGGACCTCCGATCAACATCAACCCAGTGTTTCTTCCACACTTTTTTCTCCGAGGGGCGTGGAGGGGTCACTTGATATTTTCGCGGGGGGGGGGGGGGGGGCGGACAACATTTTCTGGGGGGACGACGACACTGATAAAAGTATGTTTTCTATATAAATTCCATTTCGATCGAGGGGGGGGGGTAGTGGCGGCGGTAGACTTTCTTCGGGGAAGGGGGGGGGCATCCCTCCCCCCCTCCCTCCCGAAGGGATGCCTGGAAGAAACTCTGCATCAACCGACAGCCTATGGCCGTGTTGTGTGTGTGTGTGTGTGTGGCCTGTGTGTGTGTGTCCAAGGAGTCCACAGAAATGATGATGATGATGTGTGTATGTTGGTGTGTGTTTGTTAGTGTGTGTGTGTGTGTTTGTGTGTGTGTGTGCGTGTGTGTGTGTGTGTGTGCGAGTGAGTAGATGAAAAAAGTGCTGAGGATATAAAATTTTTACAAGCTTTTATTTTAGTTCATCCTCCGTCCTTTTTACAATCTCGTATAAGATGTATAGAGAAGGTATTGTAATCGAAATCGAGATTTTTCACAAATGTCAACGTTTTACACCTCACTGAGTCGGAAAAACTCGGTCTGCAATTTAGTTTGTATGTCTGTGTCTGTCTTTGTTTGTCTGTCTGTAAACACAATAACGTGAGTACAGTTTCAGTCATGTTGACAAAATTTCATATATACTTTTAAGTTAGGTGGATGAAACTTCACATATAAGTATTACCTTGTATGTGCATGTTTCTGTCAAATGTAAGTTTTCCAAAAACTGCTAGTGGTATTGTACTTATTTTTGTGGAATATGATAAATTGAGTACTGTTTCACATAGGAAGATGAAATTTCATATATATGTTTAAGATCTTATACTTGGATCATTTTAAATTTTGGAGTGACCTCCAATAACCGGAAGTGGTACTTTACTCCAGTGGCGTAGCGAGGTCGGGTGTCACCCGGTGCGGCACTTAATGGTGTCACCCCAGAGGCGTATCGACCCTTCCCGGGGACAAACTTCTAAATTTTCGATTTGCACCTCCCCCCCCCTCAAACTTTCGATTTGCACCCCCCCCCCTCAAGTTTTCGATTTGCACCCCCTCCCCCTCACACTTTCGATTTTTTCAAGTTTTTCTCTATATATTTTGCTATTTTCTCAACAACAAAAAAGGCGGGAGTGATCTCCCCTAAACTCTTCGAATATTTTTATACGGGGATGGCAACTCGGGATATAGACATGATTTTTAAT